GCACTCTACCGAGTGAGCCACAGGCCAGCCCAGTATGGCAATTTTAAAAAGTGTTCTCTATAAAGAAAACCTTTCACTTAGAAGTCTTGGCTTTTTGCTACACTAAGTAATATATTACTTCCTTGTTATTGTCTCCTTTTTAGATCTGTGGAATCCTGGAACACTCCCACTCTCCATCCCTGAAGCTGACCCCTGCCCCAAGCACCCACCCTAACCTCCAAGCCTATCTTCAAGGCAACACCCAGGTCTCTCGAAAGAAACTTCTGCCTCTGCTCCAGGAAGCCCTGTCAGCATATTTTGACTCCACAAAGATTCCTTCAGGGCAGCCTGAGACAGTGGGTATATCCAGGGAGCAGGTAGACAAGGATTTGGACAGGGCGAGTAACTCCCTAATTTCTCGACTGAGTCAAGATGAGGAGGACCCTCCACTGCCCCCCACACCCATGAACAGCTTGGTGGATGAGTGCCCTCTGGATCAGGGGCTGCCTAAGCTCTCAGCTGAGGCCATCTTTGAGAAGTGCAGTCAGATCTCGTTGTCACAGTGTACCACTGCATCTGTGTCAAAGAAGTAACTGTTGGGAGGGGAGGGGACAGAGGGCGGGGTTGCTCGACCCATCTCAAATGCATGTTTTGATATGTTCTGGAGATTTAGCAATTCTGTCTTCATTGCTCCAGGGTGTGGTATACTGTTCTTATAAAACTGGGAGGAGAATGAAGTGAAAGAAAGCAGCTGCTTTAAGAATGGCTTTCTACCTTTTCCCCCCAATCTCTGCCAATCAGACATTTTATTATTTAAATCTTCACTGACTTTCCTTTATTTCATTTGCCATGGGTACAGGGTGATACACCCACAGTCCCAGCAGATTGAGACAAAAAGAATGTAGACCCCAAAAGTACCCTTGGTTAGGATCTTGAACAGAACCAATATCTGTCTTGGAACGATGTATTCATTGATTATCTCTGTGTATTCATTTATTCACTTATTCATTTAAGTATTTATTGAATACCTGCTTCAAGCTAGATAGAAAAGAGAGCATACTTTGGAAAGTCTTATTCAGTTTTCAGCCTTCAACAGGTTTCCAGCTTCATGCCTCTTCTTTCTGCCCCTGGGTAGGTGATGGTGTTTGATTCAGAGAGGATGAATTTCTTTCTTTCTTTTTATTTTTTTTTAAAGATGACCGGTAAGGGGATCTTAACCCTTAACTTGGTGTTATCAGCATCACACTCTCCCAAGTGAGCCACGGGCCAGCCCTAGACATCTATGAATTTCTGTTCTGAGCTTATTGTGACTGTTTTAGGTCTTGTATGAGGCAGATAGGAGGCCATTATCTTCTGTCCTGATCAGGTAGCCTGGTTCTCTTGTTTCTTTAGATCCCTCCATCCCAGAGCCACAGGAACCCTGAAGAGACTCTGAAGACCCCTTGTTCTTGAGAGTTCAGGAGGCACTCAAGAAGGCCTTAAGACCTCGTAGGCACTCTGCCCAAAAGATAGCAGAACTGGAATGAGAGCCCTGGGTCTGTGTCCCTTCCCTTAGTGGGTTTATCCATTTCTTGTTCATATCTGTCTCTCCTTGCTCATTTTGAAAGGAAGCATGGAGTTCTAATACTGACTGCCATAAACGGTGTGTCTTTTGGCAAGACACTTCACTACTCTAGGTCTCATTTTCCCCATCTGTAAAACAGGGTTTGAACCAGATGTTCCCTGGTGATCTGTGATCTGCCTCTTGCTGCCATTCTTTCTCTCTTCTGCTTCTCTGTGTTTTTCTTTTGTTTTCCCTGGGAATGCTCAGGGTCACTGGATTGTCTGTATTTATGTGTGACTGTACCAAGGGACTCATGTAGCATATACAGGGGTATGATTCATACTAACATGACCCAGCAAAAAGCTCCTTCCCACCATCTTGTTTTGCATGTGTAGAGTCTCCCTTTTTTCTTCAGACTAACCTGATCCCCCTTTTCCTACCCCACAGATCTATTCCATGTACATTGCCAACAGTTTCACTGAACAGTGGGGTTTGTGGTAGTTTTGGCATGACATCTTCCAGTATGAGGGGGACAGTCTGACTTCATTTTGAGAGTATGATGTCTGTAGTCATTTGGAAGGTAAAAATTGTTGTGTGATCACTGAACCAAAGGAATTTATGTTTTGTAACTTGGGTACTTTATTTTGAATTTTTTAAAAAGTATTAAAATACATTTTTCCTGTTTGGGGTCTTATTGTCTCTTTTTACAACTATGATCAAACTTTTCCCTCTCATAATTGTTTCAGCCTCCTAAAGAGTCTCCTGCTGGGCTGGCCACTTAGCTCAGTCAGTTAGAGCATAGCCTTATAACACCAAGTTTAAGGGTTCGGATCCCCATCCCAGCCAGCCACAAAAACAAAACAAAAATTCATCTTCCTTCTTCCTACTATACTTAATGTCTTCTTTCTGTTGACTCCTTCTGGGAATAAGAAGCAGTAGGCTTCTGTCTCCCCTTATCCTCAGCCTTTCCTTTATGTTTCTTCTCTCAGAACTCTCCTAATAAATACAAGTTGACCCTTGAACAAAGCAAGGGTTAGGGTGCTGACCCTAAATTCCTGATGAAAATTTGCATATAACTTTTGACTCCCTAAAAAAAACTTGACTACTAATAGCCTACTGTTAACCAGAAGCTTTACTGATAACATAAACAGTTAACACATATTTTGTATGTTATATGTATTATATACTGTATTCTTAAAGTAACCTAGAGAAAAGAAAATGTTATAAAGAAAATCATAAAGAAGAGAAAATATATTTACAGTGCTGTATGTATATTTATTGAAAAAAATCCACATGTAAGTAGACCTGCACAGCTCAAAGCCCTGTTGTTCAAGAGTCAGCGGTACTTCTGTTGTTCCAGTTTTGCTTATGCTTGAAAACTAGGCCCAAGGTAGTCTTACAACCAAAATAGTTTCTGCTTTTGCTTTTTTTTTTTTTTTTTTTTTTAAAGAGCAGCTTCCAGAAGGTTATATGGGGTCTGGAAAGGAGAACAAATTGCTTTCCTAGACTCACCCAAGACTAGCCACCACAGAAAATGCACTCTTCTCCCCAAAACCCGCCCCCACACAGGAGGCAGGGTTTTTCTTTTGGACAAACCTGCTCCTTGGGAGGGAAGGTGGCAAAACCTGTTTGAAAATGAAGTTGCCTCCCTTCCACACCTCTCCTCCTCAGAGGCAAGAGCAACAACAGTTGAGACAAAAAAGAGTAAAGAAGTGTTGAGGGCTGTGACACCCAGCTCCCTAAACTGTTTAAGGAAGGTAACAGTTTTTTTTTTTTTTTTTTTTTTTTTTTAAAGAGCAGCTTCCAGAAGGTTATATGGGGTCTGGAAAGGAGAACAAATTGCTTTCCTAGACTCACCCAAGACTAGCCACCACAGAAAATGCACTCTTCTCCCCAAAACCCGCCCCCACACAGGAGGCAGGGTTTTTCTTTTGGACAAACCTGCTCCTTGGGAGGGAAGGTGGCAAAACCTGTTTGAAAATGAAGTTGCCTCCCTTCCACACCTCTCCTCCTCAGAGGCAAGAGCAACAACAGTTGAGACAAAAAAGAGTAAAGAAGTGTTGAGGGCTGTGACACCCAGCTCCCTAAACTGTTTAAGGAAGGTAACAGGAAGACGTGAAGATGGGAACTATACAAGAGGCAGGAAAAAAGACATTAAATCTTGGGTAAGTACGATCTTGGCTCACTTGATTGGAAATGCAGTGAATAAATAGTCTTGAGAAACTTTCCCACCATCCAGCTCTTCTTACCAGGTCAAATCTCGGGTTTCTTAGGGAGACAAGACTAAGGGTGAATTTGCTGAGGAGGAATGGGGGTGGCTTTAGGTAGGAAATGTCAGTATGGTATGGAACTGGGGAACAGACGATTCCAGGATAATTCTCTGGTTAAAAAAAAATAATAAAAGAAGTTTCTATATTTTGTGTTTGATAAATCTGACCATGTTGTTTTTTTCCTGACCCCCACCCTCCAGAATGGCCATCAGGAAAGCTGACTCAGAACTCAGTTTAGGCCCAGGTTTTCCTTCCTGGCAAATCTCTTTCTCCTTATCTTCTTCCTCCACCCCGCCACTCATGCCATGTTTTTTTGTAGCCACTCCCCAGCATGGTGGAGGAAAGGCAGGCCTGACTCGGTGTTATCTGTCCCAATTTTACCCAGTGGTAGTTGGGCGGGTCTGTCTAGGTTCCAGCCAATTGTAATGGGGGACATCTCTCACTCCTGCTTTGTAGGTGGAGCAAGTGCCATTGAGGTAAATATGATGAGCTTTACATTCCATCTTCCCTCTGCTCCTAAACCCTACAGTAGGTAATCTGCTTCTAGCAAGGGGTGAAGGTGGGAGAAACATCTGTATAGGAGACAAGAGGTCTGAATTGTTTTTAAGGCCTGCCCTCTACTCCGTACCTTAATTACTGTTCTTTATTCTGTTTCCTACTTCACCGTCCAGTTCCCTTAAGATACTGCCTAGGTTGTCTCATGACAATCTTTCTTTCATGATACTCTATCTTAGGGAAAAAGCAGAAGAAGCAGAACTAGGAGCAACCCTGAGTGTTGGGGGACTGGAGCTGAAGGAGGAATGGCAGGATGAAGAATTCCCTAGGTAAGGAAGAGTGAGAGAGGCTGGGAGAAGGAAGGGATGGTCACAAATGGAGGGCAGGGATGGCAAATCAGGATTTATGGGAAGAAGAAAGCAGAGGTGATAAAATCTTGGTAAGGAAGGAGAACTGATAAATTGATATCTGGCTTGATGTCGTTAACCTATATCTCTGCTCCCTTTTAATCTTTTCCTATCTAGATTGCTTCCTGAGGAGGCTGGCCCTTCTGAAGATCCTGAAGACCCTAAAAGAGATTCACAGGCAGGTAGGTAAAGTAGAAACTGGGCCTCAAGTTCCTGATGCTAGTCCAGTGAAGTCTATGCCACCCCATCCCTTTGTATTCCCTCTTCCCCTTTTCCCAAATGTCCCCTGTATCAGTCCCTTCTTCAGAGTTCATCCCATATCATCACTTCCATGTACAGGAATTCCAACCATCTCCACACCCCCAAAAGATACATATCTTTCTGTTTTTCTTTTTTTCTCTTCCTCCAACCCTAGGTACCCCCAGTACATTAGCCCTGTGTGGCCAGCGCCCCATGCGTAAGCGTCTTTCTGCCCCAGAGTTGCGGTTGAATCTGATTGAGGGGTCTGAAGACAATGGAGCTTCTCCCTGCCACTCTGCACCTTCCTCTCCTGATGGCAGTTCTGACCTGGAGGTAGACGAATTGGAGACACCCTCAGACTCAGAGCAGCTGGACAGTGGACATGAATTTGATTGGGAAGGTAGGAAACAAACCTGAGGACAGAGCTAGTAGAAGTAGAAGCCAATGTTAAAAGAAGCTCAGGGGGCCAGCCTGTGGCTCACTTGGGAGAGTGCGGTGCTGATAACACCAAGGCCATGGGTTCGGATCCCATATAGGGATGGCCGGTTTGCTCACTGGGTGAGCGTGGTGCTGACAACACCAAGTCAAGGGTTAAGATCCCCTTACCGGTCATCTTTTTAAAAAAAAAAAAAGTTCAGGGGCCAGCCCGGTGGCGCACTGGAGAGTGCGCCGCTTGGGGGCGTGGCAGCGCTCCTGCCGAGGGTTCGGATCCCATGTGGAGACTGGTTCCCGCTCACTGGCTGAGCGCGGTGCGGGCGTGACACCGAGGGTTGCGATCCTGTTGCGGTCCCTGGTGCGGGCGCGACGCCGAGGGTTGCGATCCCGTTACCGGTCAGTAAAAAAGACAAAAACGAAAAAAAAAAAAAAAAGTTCAGGATCGATTTAATGGGAACAAAGTTAGAAGTAATAAGGTGGGGACTAAGGAAAGACCAGCAAAATTCATTTCCTCAGAATGAAAAAGTAGAGCACATAGGTCCAATGTGAGAGTAGTCAGGTGGGATAAGGAGCAGGGGGCTTTGTTTATAAAAAACCTTTTTTTTTTTTTTTTTTTTGTACTGGCCAGTACATATTAAAAAAAAAAAAAAACTTTATTGAATGCCTGTTATCATTGACCTAGAACTGGGATTATAAAGATGAATAACAGAGGCCCCACCCTCAGGGAATTCTCTGTTTAGTAGGAAGTAAACATACATACAAATAACTGCAGTTAAAGTTTATGATCTTCATGTGTACAGGGTAGAGTATGAGCAGGGAGAAGGAAAATGTCAGTTCTGCCTGAGAGATGTGAGGAAAGACTTCACAGAGGAGGTGATTCTTAGCTGTATTGAAAGCTGAAGCTGATGTTTATCAAGTAGTTGGAAAGAGGACATTCCAGATGGAAGAAGGAACTCAAGCAATACCATGGCACGTTGGGAAATTCTAAGTATGAACCATTCAGGGCTGGGAGGTGAGGAGAGAATGACAGAAGATAGTGCTGGGTTAAGTAGGCAAAGGTCAAATTATAGAGGGCCCTTCCTGCCATACTAAGGAGTTTACATTTTATCCTGTAAGCAATGAGGAGTCATAGAAAGGGAGTAACGTGATCAAACTTAATCATTCTGAAAAAACTGGAAACAACCGTCAGTAGAGTATTAATTCTATTATGGTAATCCATAAAATATAATACTAAATATTATGCAACTATTTTTTAAGATGAAGCAGCTCTTTCTATTGTTATGGAAAGATCACACAGAATGGTGGCTATAGTATATCATCATTTGAGTAAAAAAGGTAGAAGGTAGAGGAGAAAAGATAGCTTGTTCTAGCAATGTTGTAGAGGGTGGAGTGGAGGAAAAGAGACTAGAGGCAGAAAGAGCAATGAGGAGGCTAATACTAAGCATAGGTGAGAAGTGCTAAGAACCCAAAACAGGACAGTAATTGTGGAAAAGATGATAAAAGAATATGAGGGCTGGCCGGGTAGCTCAGATGGTTAGAGCACAGTGTTGTAACAGCAAGGCAAGGGGTTTGGATTTCCGTGCTGGCCAGCTGCCAAAACAAAACAAAAAAGCAAGCAACAACAATAAGAACAACAATAAAAAGAATATAATGGAGGTAGATGGAAGAGGATCTGGGGTCCAGCTGGTTTGGGGGCTGATAGAGAAGAAAATGTTTCAGATGATACATAGTTTTCTGTCTCAGGGAGCTAGATGGATGAGGTCATTCATCAAGATAGGAAACAGGGGGGAGAGTATGAAGAGAATGATTTTGAGTTCCACTTTGAGTCTGGTGACTTGATAGCAGGTAGACACAAACTAGAGATGTCCATTCTAGGCATTTAGGGATATAGATCTGGAGTTAGAAGTCTGGGTTAGTCAGACAAATCCGGGAGTCATCACCTTACTCATGGTAACTGAAGCCATGGGAATAGATGAGCTCACCCAGGGGAAAGCATGTAAAGAAAGAAATAGAGAATCTGTAATAAAACTGATACTGGTAAGGGCCATAGATCTGCCATAGTGCAAGGTCACCCCAAGGCCATCATCTAGTAAAAAGGTGAGGATAATGAGTCACAGGAGGAAGAAACCAGCAAGGAGTTGGGTTGATTGGATAAACTAGGGCTAGAGAGTCAAGGAAAAAATTGAATGAGAAGTTGGAGTAATAAACTCTAGGAATCTGGGGAAGTTACAAGATACAAAGGTGGGAAATCTGCCTTATTGATTCTTCCTCATTCCTTCCTTTTAGATGAGCTGCCCCAGGCAGAAGGTCTGGGAGCCAGTGAGGCAGCTGAAAGGCTGGGCCGGGGTTGTGTGTGGGATGTGGCTGGAGAAGACGGTCATCGCTGGAGAGTGTTCCGAACGGGACAGCGGGAGCAGCGAGTGGACATGACTGTCATCGAGCCTTATAAGAAAGTCTTATCTCATGGAGGTAATGGCTTACACAAGTGGAGGAGTAATAACTGTGGCTTCTTAAATAAAATGCCTAGGCTGGAGACTCAGTTATTGGGTTCAGAATCCTTCTTGTAGGGCTAGTCAGTTAGCTCTGTTGGTTAAAGTGTGATGTTATAACACCAAGGTCAAGGGTTCGGATCCCCAAACTGGCCAGCTGCCCCCCCAAAAAAATCCTTCTTTTAACTTCCAGAGGCCCTCAGAGTCCCTCAACTTAAACATATGTACTGTCAATACATATTTGTTGACTGAATTAATTTTCCCCTTATCCTCCCCAGGTTACCATGGTGATGGCCTCAATGCTGTTATCCTCTTTGCTTCCTGTTACCTACCCAGAAGCAGCATCCCCAACTACACCTATGTCATGGAACACTTGTTTAGGTCCGATGTAAGGCCTGAAGGGCTACAGGGAGGGCGTTAGTGGGGAACAGTGAAGAACCCCTTCCAAGATCGGTAGCTGATCAGAGAGTCTACAATAATGTTCCTCACACTCCACACAACCCCCAACACATACCTTCCCTGCAATTTCATCACCTCAGGTATATGGTGGGAACTCTGGAGCTGCTGGTAGCTGAAAATTATTTGCTTGTTCACTTGAGTGGAGGCACAAGCAGGGCGCAAGTTCCACCTCTGAGCTGGATGCGCCAGTGTTACCGTACCCTGGATCGGAGGTGAGACCCTAGGACAAGAGGGCTATAACTCCATTTTATTTTTTTCTTTTCTCTTTTTTAATTAATTATTCTTATCTTTTTCTCTTTCATCTTTTTGTTCTTTCTTCTTTTAGTCCCTTCCTCTTTTCTTTGTCCCTCTAAACCCCTTTTTAAGCATCTTTTGTCTTCTGTCCTCTCTTGGAGTCAGAGAAATCTAGTTTCAGATCTTGCCTTTACCATTTCATCTACTAGCTGTACGATTTTGGACAAATCACTTAACCTTTCAAGACCTCACTTTACTTATCTGTAAAATGGCAATGATAATACCTTTGCCACTGAGTATTTGTGAAAATCACGTAAATTCAAGTGGCATATTGCCTGACACATAGAAGGCACTCTTCCTTTTCTCCCAGTCTTGCCACATCTCCATTATCTTCTTTTCTTCTCTGCCTTCATCCCTGACCTATATGTCCTTTTTTCTCATTTGTTTCCCCCATCTTCCCTTTGCTCACTTTTCTCTTTCTTCTTGCCCCTTTTCCTTTTTTTCTCCTTACTGGTCTTCTTCCACCTGGAGTTTTATAAAAAGCCCTGGTCATGGAGGGATGGAGAAGTGTGCAAGAGGAGCATACATGACGGCAGGGCCCAGGAGGGAAATTGAGTAGAAACCAGGCTGAAGGATTCTGAAAGGAGAGTTCCTGAAAATGAGAAGCATGGTGGGATAAATAGATGGGTAGAGCTGAGATTGCAGCTAAAGGAATGTGGATTAGACCCAACTGCCAGAGAAACCTAGAAATTAGAGAAGTGAAGGAAGTTACAATACAGAAGATAGCTCCACCTGATCCTCAGGCATGAAGGTGGAAGAAGAAATAAGGATGATCTCATATTCTTCTTCAGGCTCCGGAAAAACCTGCGAGCCCTGGTGGTTGTCCATGCCACGTGGTATGTGAAGGCATTTCTGGCACTGCTTCGGCCCTTCATCAGGTACTAACTTTGGGGACAAGGACTCCCTTCCCCTTTTTCCAATTTTCAAAATCAAGATTATGAAGATCTTGCCCCACCCTGACTCCTAGCCTTAACCACCCTACTCGCTACATTTCCTCTTGAAAGGGTCACTAGGAACCCTCCTCCAGTACAAAACACACTTGGTTTATCCTCTCTTTTCAGTTCCAAGTTCACACGAAAGATCCGTTTTCTGGATAGCCTGAGGGAGTTGGCCCAACTAATCTCCCTGGATCAAGTCCACATCCCTGAAGTTGTCAGACAGTGAGTCCTATGCTTAAGGATAACGGTTTGGGGTAGGATGTGTAAAGCCATTTTCTTATTTATTTATTTTTTCCTATTTTTAAAAGATGAGCGGTAAGGGGATCTTAACCCTTGACTTGGTGTTGTCAGCACCACGGTCAACCAGTGAGCTAACTGGCCATCCCTATATAGGGATCCAAACCTGTGGCCTTGGTGTTATCAGCACCACATTCTCCCGAGTGAGCCACGGGCCAGCCCCGTAAAGCCATTTTCTTAATGCCATGGGGGAGACACAAAAGAACTAAAAGATAGAAGCCCTGCTTCTACATGCTTTAATGTATCTGGGAATAGTGCATACACCCAGAGAAGAAATTAAGGACATGTATTAGTCTGCCTCTGTTGCTTATAACAAAATACCTGGAACTGGGTAATTTGTAAGAAAATGAAGTTTATTGCTTACAGTTTCAGAGGCTGGGGAGTCTAAAGTCCGGGGAACACATCTGGTGGGGTGAGCAATGCAGGGTGCCGTATAGTGAGAATGGCGTAGCAGAGAGAGCTAACTCCTCACTCATCCTTTTAAAGCCCTCAGAACCATACCCGTGACCACCATTAATCAATGGATCAATCCATTTATTGAGCATGGTCTTCACAATCTAACCAACTCTTCAAGGCCCCACTTTTCTTTTTTTTTTTTTAAAAAGATGACCGGTAAGGGGATCTCAGCCCTTAGCTTGGTGTTGTCAGCACCACGCTCAGCCAGTGAGCAAACCGGCCATCCCTGTATAGGATCCGAACCCGTGGCCTTGGTGTTATCAGCACCGCACTCTACCGAGTGAGCCACGGGCCGGCCTAAGGCCCCACTTTTCAATTACCGTAACAGGATTTCCCCACCCTCTTAACACCATCATAGCAGAGTTTAAGTTTCTAATACATGGAATTTGGGGGACACAATTCAGTCCAAGGCAGGACATTACCGCATCCAACAAGAACAGGTGAAAAAACTATACATTGAAGTGCGGGAGGCATCGACGAATCAGGGAATAATCACAGCTCAGAGATTAGAGATTCAGACCTGCCCTAGAAATTAGGAAGAGACATGTTAGCAGTGAATAGATTAGATCCAGTGGGGGAGAGGGTGTTAGGTAGTAAAGGATGCTGAATGATGACTCAGCACCCAGTCTTCTAGTTCTTTCAATTCACCTGGCTTCTCTTGCCAAACCAGTGAGTAAAACCTAAGTCCTGCCCCTGAACCACTTCTCTCTCTTTCTCTCTCTCTCTCTCTCTCCATCCCTCCCTCCTAGGCTGGACCAGGATCTTCAGGGCTCCAGAGGAACTTAGTACAGGACTGGATAAAGGGCCTTAGAACCAAGCAAGATAGCAATCTGCCTACACCCTAATTTCTGAAACATTTGCTTTGTAAATCATCCTATCCTCAATCCCACTACCATTGGATCTTCACTTCTCAATGGGATGTCATCCCTCCCATGACCCTGCCTTCAGCAGGGCTTTGAGGTTGGGAACCTGATCTACCGAGTGACTTCTTTTTCAGCTGTTGGGGTTGAAGGCTCAGTGTAGTGGCGTTTTGTATGAGAAAGGCAGAGCTCTGGGTTTTAATCCTGCTTTAGCTGTAGAACGTTGAGCAAATAACTTCTCTTTAGGTCTCATTTTCCCCTCTGTTATTGAAGGGACTGCGATCCTTTCCACCTTGGGTATCCTAGCGGGGGGTGGGTGGTGGGTGGGAGGGGCTTGACTTACTACAACCAGCCTGCCTGCTGGGAGCCCCTTCTAAGTCATGTCTGCTGGCTGTGAACCTGGGAAGGAGTGCTGTCAAAACCTGTATTTTTGGCCCTCTTTAGTAAATTCAGATTTGTAGTGGCTAATAAACTGCAATGAGAGATTTAAGTTCTGTGCCAAGGAAGTGAGCTACTTTCCCCAACCCTTTACATCACAATCTGTCTTTCAGTTCTGGCTTGGAGTTCTTGCTCCAGAGTTCCCTAGGATTTTTAGCTCAGCCCCTGGGGCTGCAGGAGCGCATGTGTGGCGCGTGGGGCATGCGTCGGAGGTCCCCCTCCCCCCCCCTCTCCCCGCGGGCCTCGGTTCAAACGACCCAGTGGGTCGGTGGGTCGAGAGCAGAAGGGAGGGAGAGAAGGTAGGAGCTCGGGTCTCCCTCACTGGCCTTCCTCCCAACCCAAGCCGCCCAGCCCCATGGTCCCCGCCGCCGGCGCGCTGCTCTGGGCCCTGCTGCTGAGTCTGGGGTCCCGGGCGGCGGGGGCCCAAGACCAGACCCAGACTCGGGCAGGGATACAGCCAGTCAGCTTCCGCTTTGGGGGTCCTATGACCCGCAGCTACCGGAGTAGCGCCCGCACCAGTCTTCCCCGGAAGACGAGGATAACTCTGGAGGATGAGAATGACGCCTTGGCCAACGCCGACCGCCTGGCAGGTCCGGCGGCTGCCGAGCTCTTGGCCTCCACAGTGTCCACAGGCGTCGGCCGGTCGCCCGACTACAGTGAGGAGGATGGGTCTTCAGAAGAGGGGGTTGTAATTAATGCCAGAAAGAACACCGACAAGTCCTATACGACTCCCAATTCAGCGAGGGGTTCCAGTACGAGATTTATAGCCAATAGCCAGGAGGCCGAAATCAGGCTGACTTCAAACGTGCCGCGCTCCAGCTGGAAGTCTACTGGGGACCTGCTGAGCTCCGATGCCACCCTGAGCCGGTGGTCGACAGCTGGGTCCACCCCTGCGAGGCGGTGGCCATCACCCTCACCCACAGCCATGCCACCTCCCGAGGATCTGAGGCTGATGCTGTTGCCTTGGGGCCCGTGGCACTGCCACTGCAGGTCAGGCACCATGAGCCGGACCCGGGCTGGGAAGCTGCGGGGCCTCTCCGGGCGCCTTAGAGTTGGGGCGCTGAGCCAACTCCGTACGGAGCACCGGCCTTGCACCTACCAGCAATGTCCTTGCAACCGGCTTCGGGAGGAATGCCCTCTGGACACAGGTCTCTGTCATGACACCAACTGTGCATCTCAAACCACCACCAGTACCAGCACCACCACTTCTACCCCCTTCCCCAGCATCCACCTCAGACGCAGACCCAGCCTGCCGCCCCTTGGCCCCAGACCCAGCCCAGCTCTTGCTTTTTGGAAAAGGGTCAGGATTGGCCTGGAGGATATTTGGAATAGCCTCTCTTCAGTGTTCACAGAGATGCAACCAGTAAGTGTTTGGTGATGAGCCAGGATCTTTGTTGATGGATTTGAAAATATCCAAATATCCTGATATCCAAAACCCTGTTGTTATGCCAGCCAGTATGCTTGCATGAACTGATGACTTATCTGATTATTGATTTGTGACATGCATTGGTTATTCACATTATTGTTAGACATTGATTCCACCTATTATTATTTGAACAACTGCTGGTTGGTTGGTTATTAGACAACATGTCTTATTGGTCATTAGATGATTATTGACCAAATAGTTTGTAGATACTTAAAGACTTCTTGATGCACAGGTAGTTAATGGATATGAAGGCTATTTATCAATAATTGATTGATGCAGCTTAACAATAATAGCCAATATTTGAGGTCTTACTATGTGCACTTTACCTGGACCAATCCTCACACTATGAGGTATTATCCCCACTTTACAGATGCAGAAACTGGGGCTTATGAAGCTAGTAAGTGGCAGAGCCACAAGTAAAATTTAAATCAGTTTTGACACCTTTGCCCATGCTCTTAACCACCATCATCCCAAAGAACTGTCCTGGGATTCTTCCCAGCAACTTGAGAATCCTCAAGGGAAGATAGTCCTCTTTACCAAGAGTTACCAAAGGTTCTGATTGGCCTAATAAAGTAGTGTCAATTGATAAGGATGACAGGACCTATGGGGATGTGGGGAAAGGCAATAAACAAAGGGAATACTTGCTCATTTTGCTGGTTTCTGTTTTTGTGTGTCCAATACCATTACTGAATATTTAAAAAGCAGCATAAATGGGGAGGGGGGCACGCAGTAGGGTTGAGGGAATGAGGGTTTGTGGGAGGGTGAGATGAAGCAAGGAAGGGAAAAAATATAGATGTTGTTGTAATTTCCCCTTTTCTCTATTTTTTTTTCATTACCCAGATAGACAGAAACCAGAGGTAATGGCCACTTCATCCACAAGAAGAGGTGTCAGCATCTCAACCCCCTTTCAAACCCACTAGATATTCTTAGTACAGAAAAACAAAACTAGAAAAAACATTGTTTGGTCTTGTCTCTTTTTACAGAGGTATTGGAGGGAGGAGAGACCATAAACCTCTTCAATTCTAAGACTGAACTGTGTAGCTAGGAGCCTCTATCTAGCTTGTTCCCCTACTCCCTGTACCCCAAGATAAAATGTTGATGCTGCTCATTTTCCTCATTTCCAACTTTGTTTTTAAACAAGTACTTCTTTAAAGACTTGAAAAATCTCAAATAGACACCAAGAAAAGGGAATAGGAAGAAGAATAAGAAGTCAAGCCCTTGAAAGATGGTCTTCTTGCCTTGACAATGCTTGGCCATCTCTCCCCAGACAGGGCAACTTTGATGTAAAACTCCATCTCAGCCACTTTCAAGGAGTTATCTTCATCAGCCATATCTATCCTTTAATCCAACACACACTGGTAATGACTACTGTGCAACTATTTTGCCTAAACTTTTTTTATTTGAAAAATGTACTTAAAAGTCTGACAATTTTTTAATATAAATTATTACTCTCAAATCCACTCCCATCACATTATTAAAGTGATGGTAGCATACATATTAGAGAAGGCAGCTAACGGCCAGAGAGCACCAAAGGAAAGAGAAGATTGTGTCCCAAGAATAGGTATTAGAATGGGTCTGAAGATCAGGGTGACCAGATTCCAGGAGTCCCCTACCTCTTTACCTAAAGATATAACCCTTAGGCTATGGAGCTACTTTAGGGCAAAGAGGCTACTTTTAGAGCAACTAGCTTGACTGGAATTGAGAGTAAACGGGGAATGTATGACCAATCTTAGACTCTGAAAAACTGCAGGAAATACACCAAAATTTGAAAAAATTTGAACCTCAGTCACTGAACTTTAGGTAGGGGCAAACTGGATGGATGGTGGAACCAGCAGAGTGGATACCATTCCTACTCCCACTATCATAAAACGGGATGCTTCCTATTACAGAGCTAATGAGAGACCCCAGCCTTCTTAGAGCAGGCAGGAGCTCATTTGTCTTGTTCTGCCTTCCTAATTACCCTGCAAGGAAAGGAACAGAACAAAAAACACCTGAGAAAACTGAAAGTGCCTAAAGGCCCTGCTCTTACATTGCTTTCCCATCTAAAGCTGACTCTTCAGCCAGGTGGGCAGTGGGACCTGGTCTTCAGACAAAACTCCCTGAGTCTTAATTGTGTCTGGTTCTAGGACTAGGGCACAGAAATAGAGCTTAAAGTTTGGAGAGGATAAACTGGATTGTCTCTACTACTTTTCTCTCCCCCTTTCCAAATCCCACCATACCCTGTTCACGTCTCCACACTGCAGGAAGCCCTCCTCCAGAGAGCCAAAATGGAAAATCATAGTATATGTCCATCATAGAAACATGAACCCATGCAAGCACAAGCAACACAATGAACAGAGAATTGTTTGGTGATTTTGTGCAGCCCTATTGAGCCTACTTTACAGCCTAGTTCATCCATGGCTCAGGCTTAAGATAAATAATAGGAAGAGGGTAGGGTAGGAGGTGGAAATCACTTAAGAGAAAAGTAGACTCTAGAGCTCTGGTTCTTAACTGGGCAATTTCCCCCCTAGCAGACATTTGGCAATGTCTGAGACATTTTTAGTTGTAATAACTAGGGTGGGCCATGGATGCTGCTAAATATCCTAAAATGCACAAAACAGCCCTCTATTACAAAGAATTATCCAGCTCAAAATGCCAAGTGCCTAGGTTGAGAAACCTCATTCTAGAGCTTCTCCCTGCTCCAATGCTGCGAGAATCTTAAGATTGCTAAACTCACAAATAATTGTTTTCAACCTATTTATCTCCCCAACCCTTTCATCCTCAATGGTCAGAAAGTCCACCTTGAGATATAACTCTTAGTTTTGCTGCACTTTGGGTTTCCCTCCAGACCTCTCTTCCTCCTCTCACCTGGGCCAGCAGGGAGGCTGGCAGAGGGCAGGGCAGGTCCCCCAAGACTTAAACGGAATGTCATAAAGTTAAGATCCACCTCTTAACTCTTACTCAGTGGGAAACAAAAAGGTTCCTAACAGGGATGGGGTGAAAGGCAGAGGTAGTAGCAGGCTGGGGGTTATTAAAATAACTCAAATTTTTAATTTTTTTAAAAAAGGAAAGTTGCCGAGAAGCTAGTAATGCTACAGAAACATAGGATTAGAAGCCTAATTAGAGAAAGACCGTGGTGGTATTGGCAGAGATACTGAGAGGCTGTGAGCTTACAGTCTGAAATCTAAAAAGAAAGAGCAGACTAGACAGTGGTCACTCTCCCAGCCCCTGCTTGACATCTGCTTTAGTTCATTCGAGGAAGAAAGAGACGGGCAGGGAGGTAGGGAGCTTCTCAGCAAAGCCGGCTTCAGCTTTAGTAATCTCGCCCACCTACACAATTTAAAGAGTTCCAGGTTGAGTTTAAAAACAGGTGGCACCCAGACCATCATTCAGGAGAGGGAAACTCATTCTAGGTTCCCAGAACTCCTATCTCAGATCTGACGGTGTCCAGGGCTTCAGCTGAGCTCCTCTGGCCAACCAGTAGTCACTTGGTCAGTCCTGCTGCCTTGACCCCATCTCCAGGAGGGGCTAATAGCCAGAGGGAGTAGAGGGAGTCCAGCCCCCCAGCTTTGTGAGGCACTGTTAGGCAGAAAGGGAAAAAAGGGGCCCTTGGGTCACTGGTTCTAAGAGGGATCTAGTGGGGGCAGCATCTCTTCTAGGCTGGACACGGAGTGGAGGCTTCAAGATGGCAGAACCTGGATTTAAAAAAAATTTTTTTTAAAAGAAGATTAGCCTCAAAGTAAACCAAGGCCTTAGGGAGAAGTCACCACCTAGTGCAGACTTAACTATTTCTACAGTGTGCTCTTTTCTCTGTCTGTACAACCCCCTTTCTCTGCCTTTCTGGATCCTACATTCTTGAATCTTCCATTCTAATTCTCTCTTCCTCCTCCCCACTTCCCATCCTTGCATCAGAGTATCAGGGTTCAGAGGCAGGGCATTAGTATGTGCTGGCACAGGGCTGAGGTGCTGGGTGGATTTCTCTAATCACTCACCATTCCTATTGGAGCTACAATCCTCTAGAATTGCTCCACAGCCTGTCCCGGTTTCCTTTGGATCTCATCTGCTCCTGAACTGCACCTGTCTGTGAAAAAGCACACGTGAGACACCCTCCTAAGTCTTCATATCTCACAGTAAGAGGTCTACCTGTACCCTCCAGGAAAGAGACTGATCCCATCTCCTTAACAATAACATCAATCTGAAAATGTTAAAACTGCCATTCCTCCCAGAAAAGTCTCAGTGCCTGCCTTCACACCGGCCTCATGTGGATGAGGTAAACTAATAAGATCTCCTCACAAGGATTCTCTCATATATATCCAGAGTTTCATAGTTGGTGAAAAGACTCCTTCACTATCTCTAGGCCTGTTTCCCTTATTTTGAGAACAGAGGTGCCTTTTTCCTGCACCAACACTCCCAAATCACAATATGGCTTACTGTGGCACTGAAACAGCAGTTCTTAATCAGAAGAGACGGATATGGTTTTTGGAAAAAGCCCTCCAACTAACTACCTAAATATATATATTCTCCACCCCAATGAAGAACAATCTACTAATTATAGAGATGAGGAAATCCAGACCCAGAGACCTGAAATATCAGGTCTCAGATTTACACAACTGGTGACCAGAACTAGAATCCCAGATTCTTGCTTCCCCATCAAGTATGTTGTTGTGTCCCTTGCTTAAACTTTCAAAAAGGACAACACTTGCAGACTGCACAGCCCTATCAACCTCTCCCCATTCCCTTGTTACCATGGCAAGTCCATCTCCAGCTCCCATCTCCCCAGAGCCAATGTGAGTCAGGTGGACAAAATTCATTGGTTCCCCAATCATGGTACGGTCAATCCGTCTTCTCTTCTTCTTCTGCTTGGAGAAAATAGGGAGTCATATCTGAAGTCCCCTCCTCCAGTCACAGTGGAGGAATGGAAAAGAGTCTTGAAAACCACTAAAGAGCTAAGGGCCTGGTGGGAAAAGGGGATGTGGCATTATAATAGATCACTAGGGTATGAAAGGCAAAGCTGAAACAAAACATAAGCACAAAGACATGGATCAGGGTGGTAGGGACAATGGCCTGCAGAGTGAATACTGGACAAAAAAAAAGTCACCTCTGACTGATGAGGAAACAATGGGGAAAACTCACAGGTATTAAGCTCCACCTACAATGCCTGCCCAACTCAGAATGGATAGGAAAAGGAGGTGATAGCTAGGACTAATAACTTCTTCCATCACCCAGTCCCCTTTATTCCATGTATATACTTGCATGGCCATAGAAACTATCCTGACAGAGAGGGATGCAAGAAGAGTGCTTTTAAGATGGCAGATCCTAGATGGTACGTCTACTTCGCAGTATACAGTAACTGGTTTCAGTGGGTGGGGGTGGGAAGACTTACCGGCTGGGGTTTTTCTACCACGCAGCAGCCCAGTTTGTGCCAAAATTCACTCATGTTCCCTGATGGTTCCAGCTTCACTCCTCTGTACAAGGCCCCAGAGGGCTCTTGCTCTGGTGCCTTGACTGCCCACTCCTTACTCTCCCCAGGTGTAACAACACCCTGGGTTCACTCAGCTGGATGGATCTAAAAAAAGTGAAATCCTCAGAACCCTTAGCTGAGCAGTGAAGGTCAGTGTCTCAGACCTTGAGAGACTAACAGGGCCAGAGAGAGAAGTGGGCAGGCAGGCACAAGGTTATATCTTCCTCAGACTTGGAACCCTGGATTAGCATAAAGTAAAGAGAAAAGAAAGGTTAATGAGAAATGCCCCCTCCCCCATTCCTTTATCTTTTATATCTTCCTAGTTCTCCTTTAGAGGCCCTAGTCCTGTACCCCAACACTAATCTTTTCCAAACATAAGATCCTCAGTTTGAGTCCCAGAAAAAGGAACAGAACGAAAAGGCCAACAAAGGGTTAAGGAGCCAGTGGCTGGTGGTACCAAGGAAGAGGATGGGAGCTAAAAGCACTTATGGTAAGAGGATAGGAGGGGGCCAAATGATAGTGGCAGAAAAGAGCAAAGTTTGGGGGTGCAAAAAGCTCCAGCTCCCTTCTCCCTGGGTTTGGGGCAGAAGGGGAGGGGCATTTAAGTGACTCTGAAGAGGAAATAGTGGTTTTTTGTTCTCACGAACAAGGCCTCCACCCTGTCCCTCTCTTTTTCTTTACCTTGCCCTGAACACCTAGATTTTCTTTAAGAACAAGAGAGGCCACCTAGGTCCTAGGAGACTCATTGCAGCAGGTTGGACCTCAAGAAAGACTTTCTACAGTAAAGAAAGGATCTTCTACTCTTTCAGTCCATTGCCCCTATTCCTCTTCATTTCCGTCAAGTGAGATCCACCCCCTCCCAGAAGCCATTCAGCAGTTCCTTTATTACTTGACCTTGAGATCCTCCTGAAGGCAATGTACACTCTGTTTATCGGTGACCTGTATCACCGCACTCCTGTGTATGCACCTCTGTTTGCACATGGCATTGCCATATCTCCACACGTGTCCTGTATAGATCATCTGTGTACAGGCTGTAGGTACATGTGCTGGGTATCTTCTATCCCATGAGGAATCTTTTCCCAGTCTCCCCACCCTCTTCACATGCCCTATCTTGCTGCTCACTCTGCTTCACACCCTGTAGGGCCTGGGCATCCCTTCCCTCCCTCCTCCCCTCATGCTGTGACCTGTCCTCTCCTCCCTCCTCACCACTTCCACCCCCGAGCTTCATTATCCAACCAGACACAAGGAACTTTCCAATAGTATTAGTGTGGAAGGAAGACTCCCCCCCTCCTTCTCATTACTGCCAGCCAGGGTAGGGCACATCTGGGTTTCCTCTATCCTCGCTGCATTTCCCCAGTTCTGTAGTATAAACAACCTCAAAGATTCCAAAACAGGGCAGTTTCACAAATATTACATTTCAGAATGAACAGGAATCTCCCTTCCTTTCAGGCCTGGAAAACTGATGCTCTGGCACCCTCGACTGAAAAACTGAGAGGTTTTTTTCGGTTTTGCTTTTTTTTTCTTTTTTTTTTAAACAGCCTTGAGAAGAGATCACACAAATACTAAAATACAGCTTCTAAGGAAGGGAAGAACTCAGGAGTCTATGCTTTCTCTTCCCTTACCACCACTGGAAGGGAGCAGTAATCAGGTCAGAAGTCAGAACAGAGCTGTCCAGAGAAGGGAGCTGTGGTTGGTCAGTCAGTCACAGGGTTTGTAGTGATGGTGGTGGTGGCAGGTGGTAAGGTTGTGGGGGGGAAAATGAAAGAAACAATGAAGAATCAGCGGAAACCTCCAATACCACCAGACAGGCTGTACTGAGACTGGACTCTCTCCTAGCAGTCCCTGACTCTGCTCAAAGCTGAGTGAACAGAGGTGAACGGTCCTGGGAGGGGAGAGGAGAGAGGAGGGGGAAGTGGAGGAGAAGGAGAGAGGAGGGGGAGGCGGAGGAGAGAGAGGGAAAGGGTCAGTGTATGGAACAAGGACCTTTCTGTTTCTTTTCCATGGACCTGACCAGAGCTGGGTGGAGGGAAAGTGTGTGTGTGGGACTTGGAATGAAATAACCAATGGCGATTAGAAGTGACCAGGAAATTCCATTCCCTAGGACGTTAGGGTCTCTGAAACTTGGGGGTGGGGTCAGAGTGTGAAGAAGACAGGGCAGGGTAAATGTGGTGGTGGTGTGGGGTGGGGGGAACAGGAACAAAGCCAGAAAAGGAAGTAAGGGCGAATGGTTGTCACTCTCCTTTAAAGCAGCCAGAGAAAAGTGGGTTGAGGAAAAATGAGGTCCTGAACTGGTAAGCTGAGAAGGAAGAGGCACTCAAATCCACTACCCCATTATTTCAACCCCACAGTGAAAGGGAAGGGGCTGGGAAAACAACAGGAGGGATCAGGAAAAGGTCACATCCTGATAGTCAAGTAGTGCTGAGAACTCAGTCTCTCTGACTACCAAATAGAAAAGAGTAAAATATGGAACTGGGAAAGACAGCCAACCACCACCACCAAGGTCACGCTAGGCCCTAGGAGCCTCAAAGCTGTTGGGGGTGAGCAGGAGAAGGGATGGGAAAAAGGCGCAAGGGAGGAAGGATGTACAGAGGTAGTTCCCTGGTCCTGTTCTAGCCCCAAACCGGTTTTCCCGGTCCCGCTGCCTCCCGCCCCAAGGCCTCCAACCCGCTGCCTGACAAGCCTTCACAAGAAGCAGCTGGAGAGAAAGAGAAAGAAAATGGAGAGAATGGAGTGGGCAATTCCGGCTATAAGCCCAGGGCTGCAGCTGGATCCGTGTAGAGACCTCCCCCCCCCACCCCCAGACAAGGAAGGTTGCTGAGGGGCTCTGGATTAGGGTGTCGACCCCATATTTCAGCCAAGTAACAGGCATTTGCCCCAGCACCAACCCTTCCCTTCCCCAGGAAAGGTCTTGTAAGGCTTAAGAGGAAGCAGAACTAGTCCCTAAGCTTCCCTTCCCCCAATATTTTCAATCAGACTCCATTTCGGCTCGCCCCACCCCCAACTCTACCCAGAAATTCTCTCTCTGCTCCTCTGAACGCTGAGTTAGGATCCTCTGAATCTTTCAGACCCTCTCCGTCTCCCACTTTCCCCAACATTCCAGTCCCTTCTTTTCTTCTACTTTTCAGAGGCCTCAGCCTGCGCACGGCAAGAGTGTGGTGGATAAGGGCTGTGACCCTGGGAGCGCACCCCTTTCCCACCGACCCAGCATCTCGACGGCCCTGGACACCCTCCTCCCCCACGCCCAGCATCCGGTGTGTCCCCGCCTGGCTCCGCAGGCGTGGCGGGCGGACTGCCCGGAGGGTCCAGCACTACGGCCTCACCTTCTTTTCTCTGGCATCGAGGCGTCCAGCTGCAGCTGGTTGGGGGGCTCCCGCTCCGTGCCCTCCAGTGCGGGGTTCCCAGGCACTCTCCTCGGCGCGGTGGGGGAGCCGAGGGCGGGCCGGCAGAGGTGGGGCTGGCCGAGGGCGGAAGCGGCGGCGACGCGATTACGAAACCCGTCAAGCTCCGAGCCGAGCGCACAGCTTCCTTCTGGGCTAAGGAGGCACTGCATGGTGGAGGGACGTGGGAGAGGACCTCTGCAGCCCCCGAAAGCCACCGCCCCCCACCCCCCATCTCTTGTGCTCTACCCAAAATGGAATAGAGCTAGGTTTATTTACCCACTGAGAGGGTGGAGAGGCGAGTCAGGAGCAGGGACGGGCGGGGGAAGGGGGCTGTCGAGTTTTTCTGATCCTCAAAAACACCTGGTAACCTTAAGTCCTTAAATTGGGGAAGAAAGGGGCATTCCTTTCCACTGTTCCTTAAGAGTTAAGGTTTTAATCCGTAAACCTACAATTAGGGGACAAGTAATTGCTCATTTATTGCACCCCCCAGTCAGCACGGGGGTGCTGGAAGAGATCGGTAATAAGAGGACAGACCAATAAGCCTACGGAGATGCTTCAGTCCTCTCTCCCTAAAGTGTTCTGGAAGCGATCACTTGAATTAGCCGAGTCAGGCAGGGAGGGGGCGGGGAGTCCTTCCGCCCTTCTTAGGAGGGGCTGCATTGCAGGGGGAGACTGAGCAGCCAGACTCAGTCACTGAAGAGGCAGAGGGAGTGAGAAGACAAAGCCGTCAAAGCCCTAACAGCTTTCTTTCTCTCCAGCCCAGAGCAGACCCCGGAGCCCCCGAGGCACTCCCTCCATCTTTGGAACACGCTAGTAATTCATTGATAACAGGTAAACTAAACAGGGCGGGGGGCAGGGGGCTGCAGAAATAGAAGAGCAGCTTCTTATGGTTAGATTGAAGACCCCGAATAAGGATGAGGTGGGGGGACAGTTGAAGAGAGAAGGGGGCGCTATGAACAATGGGTAGTTATTGTTCACCGTTTTACACCTCCATCCATGCCTTGTTATACCGCACACAGATAGGAATTTTTAACAATTACATGTAGTTATTTCACAGCATTTACCTCCTTATTTCAAGTATCTGTTTCCCTATAATTTACTGTCCTGTGTATTTAATCTCTTCAATCTAATTATCTACATCTTCCTTTCCAAGCTATAATTTGTTCTGTTATTTGATGACTCTTTAGTGCTACTCTATCTCTCTAGCCTATACTTCTCTATATTTCCAATTTTTTTCTGTAGTGTTCTATTTGTGCCTATAGGAGGGAGTTTTGGGGGGAGGTGTATAGGATAGTATTGAGAATAATTCTGACCTTTCTTTCAACAATCTCCTCCCAATCTCAAACCTTTGCTCCAAAGACATAGGCAGCTTAAGGTGAAAAGGTGGGGTCCTCTGTGTTAGAGAACTGCCTGATCCCATACTGAAATCAATACGGTCCACAGGGATAGGTATGGGGACAGATCCTGGAAAAGGAACGCTTATTTGCAGCTCAATGGAATAGGACTTGGCTAATAGCAAATCCAAGCTCAAAGTAAGGCACTTATGATGAGATGCCAGAGAGCTTCCATTCCCCTCCACCACCACCCCTACCCCCACCCCTATGGTGGCAGCATGACACAGCAAAGCCCTGTTGGGTAGGCCTTGGATGTCCACAGAGGGTCTGGACAAAGGGTATTTGGGTGTGTCTGTGTGGCTGCAAGAGAGTGTACCTTTTAAATTTGTACATTTGCTAATCACGTATCTCTAAGAATAGACAGAATAATATTTAGAAATTACCTTTGCCTAAAATATGTGGATAATTTAAAATGAAGGGGGCTGGCCATTTAGCTCAGTTGGTTAGAGCATGGTGCTAACACCAAGGTCCAGGGTTCGACCCCTGTATTGGCCAGCCACCAAAAATAAATAAAATGAAGTATAGTGGGGAGCATTTATTGAGCATATATTGTGGAACAAGGCACTGTTCAAACCCTTTAAAATAAGTAAATAATAGATGTAAAGATAGATGAGGTATGGGTGGAGAGCACTGGAGAGCAGAAGAGAAAGTGAGCTGAAAAGGGACCTTTGGCAAAATTTGGAGGACTTGAAAATTAAATCCATACTATATCAAATCAAAAATATCATTACTAATGTCTTTACATTAGTAAATACCCTTTGGTATTTTAGCTTCAATTTTCTGTGTGGTCTTTATGTTCTTGATTTGATTTTAGTGCCACATAAGCTTGTATGAGTGTCTGGAATGCATTTGGTACTCTAGGTACATGCCTGTGGGTCAATGGCATAGCTTGAGATTTTAGGCCTTTTTAGTCAACATTTCACAAAATTTCCTTTAGCTATTTTTTAATTGCAAGATAGCTCAGAGACTCTTTGAGCAGTTTTATGCATACTCTGGTTGTAAGAAAAGGAGTCAGTTGGTCAAAGAGCTTTCTCAAATTCTAGCATTCAGATCAGAATCACAGGATCAGAATCAATTAATAGCAAACCCACAGAATATCTGTTCTTCAGGGACTAAGAATTCTTGTAAGTTTTGAGAATACTGGTATAGGGTTATAATAAAGCTGTAGGCAACTATCTGTGTATAACACAAAAGGGGTTCAGACTGGGAATTATGAGACCTGTGTTCTATACAGGCTGTCTTGGAAGGCTTTACAAGACACTAGATAATTTCTTTTTTTTTTTTTTTTTTAAAGGATGACCGGTAAGGGGATGTCAACCCTTGGCTTGGTGTTGTCAGCACCACGCTCAGCCAGTGAGCAAACCGGCCATCCCTATATGGGATCCGAACCCGCGGCCTTGGTGTTATCAGCACCGCACTCTACCGAGTGAGCCAGTAAGGGGATGTCAACCCTTGGCTTGGTGTTGTCAGCACCACGCTCAGCCAGTGAGCAAACCGGCCATCCCTATATGGGATCCGAACCCGCGGCCTTGGTGTTATCAGCACCGCACTCTACCGAGTGAGCCACGGGCCGGCCCAGACACTAGATAATTTCTAAGGTGTCTTCTAGTTTAAAAAATTCTATGATTTTCTCCCCATGATTCTATTTTTTAAAGAAACTGTTATGTGCCTAACATTATTCTAAGCTCACTCCGGAGAAGACTAGTAAGGGAGGAGATGTAAAGAAGCCAGCTAGGTAGGAAAATAACGGGTAATACAGTAAACAATTCCTGTAGACACAAGTCAGTAACACTACTGACTCCTAAAGTTTGCTTTTTAGGCTTTCTGTAGTCCCAGATCTAAGCGGGGATTGGTTGGTTAATAGGTACAAGCATTTTTTTCTTTCTTTACACAGGTAGATTCCAGATGCAACCATTTTTTGTAGCTCTCTTTCTGCACACATCTCTGCAAATTACTGTGGAAATGATCAAAGTTGAATATCATAGGATGATCTCACCTTTTCAACATGCTCCCCCATCCTGCTCCAATCCCTGCGTCACCCTCCTCCTGAGCAGCTTCTCTGCTGAGTAATGCTCAGTTCCTGGAGTTTATTTTGGAGCTTGAACCTCAGGAAAGAAAGAACAACTCAGAATTTGCTTTTAACATTAAAAACATCCTAGCCTATCCACTCACCACTCCTAAAGCCCCCACAATCTCACATGTCACCATGTTCTATATTAATGCTTTCTTCTTCTGCCTTAGTAGAGACATTTCACATTATATGGGGGCATTTTGGAACATATTAACCCCAGTATTTAGTAGTCTGAGGCCTCGGAGAGCCAGTGGGGTGTGCTGAAGAAAGGCCTTTTGAAACTTAGGGTTCTATTTTTGGAGGGCAGTGGAATGTTCTTTCTGCTCCTTTGGGGACATTTCAGCTAATGCTTCTTGCCCCTTCCTTTGGCTAGTAAGTAGCAGGGTAGAGACAAGAGGAAGCTAGGATAGTCATATAACATTAGGCAGGGCATGGATAGGATTAACAGAAAAAGTGATAGAACTACTCATTAAAAAATGGAAAGTTGGGCCGGCCCGTGGCTCACTTGGTAGAGTGCGGTGCTGATAACACCAAGGCCACAGGTTCGGATCCTATATAGGTATGGCCGGTTTGCTCACTGGCTGAGTGTGGTGCTGACAACACCAAGCCAAGGGTTGAGATCCTCTTACCGGTTCTTTTTTTAAAAAAAAAAAAAAAAAAAAAAGGAAAAGTATCTGATACTGTTATGGGACCTTCTCCTTCCAATCTAAATTTTACTTCCTTACCTGGGATTTCCAATCAATTTGGATTGGTTAGAGTGCAGTGCTGATAACACCAGGGTGAAGGGCTCTCACTATCTTCAGGTATATTCTAACATTGGGATCAGAGAAGAGTCCCTGTTTTGGCATAGAAAAATTCTTTTCGCATCTGGGTTTTGTTCTGAAGGAGAGGTAGGCTAGACAGAAATAGACAGACTGTTAAGGTTTATCTGTGGACTAATAGATGGGAGTGGCAAGGTACTCATTCTATTAAATGGTGAGGGAAAATTAATTAGCAGCCTTGAATCTCTTTGTGTGCAAAGCCCAGCACTGTAGTACACACAGAAAGTAAACTGGTTTTTACCCATGGGGAAACTCCCATTTTGCTGAAGGAGATAAAGCCATCCCTTGTCAAAGGACAAAATTACAACAAATTTAAAGATCTCAGTTGGCTTTATTGCGACTCTAAATTCTATTTCCATAAAATAGAGTAAGTGTACCAGTGAACTGAGCAGAGGAGGATAGTTTTATAGACAGAAAAGGCTGAAGAAAGCAGAAACAAAGACCAAAAAGCAAAGTGGTCATTTGACTAGTTAACATAGGTTACTTCAGGCCCTCTCTTTTGTGTAAGGGTTAATGCAGAGGGAACTTCATTATCATACCTATTGAAGATTTAAACTGGCCTGTTTGGGAAATTGGCTATCTCTTTCTCCTGATTTCTTGGGAAAGTCAGAAACTTAGCAGGGATTACTCCATTTTAATTTTTAGTTTGGTCTCGTGGGGCCTAGTGCAGGAATTTAGTTCCAAAACAATGGTCTCCTATAATCTTTATTTAATAACATAAATCTCCTAACAGTGATCTGTAACACCAAACTGATGGGAGTCACGCAAAACTTTACAGGGTGTTGGGGGAGATGCTGAAGAAATAGGGTAGATGGAGCTGAGTAAGTTTAAGGAAGTTGTCCTGGAAGAGGTGAGTTTATAGTATGATTTAGAAGGCAAAAAGGAAAATAGGAAGCAAAAATGTCATGGAAGGGGGCTGCCCAGTTAGCTCACAGTGCTAACTTTAGAGCAGTGTTGATAACACCAACGTCAAGGGTTCGGATGCCCATGCTGGCCAGCTGCCATAAAAAAGAAATGTCATGGAAGGCCTTTTTACAAGTAGCATGACCTAGTAAACCAAAGGCAAGAAGAAGTCAAGTATTTGCAAATATAATAGGAATTTGGGGGAGGGTGGGGTTCCTCTAGGGAATCTTAAATCTTGGGAAATATTTTAAGGTGGAGAGTAGAGAAAGTTAAGCAAGACAGGAATGAGCATAACTGTAGTAGAGGATATACTACCACTAAGAAGAATGGGGCCAGATTTTGGAAGGCTTTGAAAATCAGACCCAAGATCAATTTGATGCAATAGGCAGTAAGTAAATAAGTCATTCCAAGATGGAGACAAGTTAGGAAGTGGTAGAAAATGGTAATAAAGAAAGAGTTCCTGAAGCTTGTCCTAGGGAACTTGGATTATGTACAGAGGTAAATGAGGATGTGGAGTTTTTACTAAGCAAGGAAAAGCCATGGGCCACAAAAAGGTTGATGTAGCATAAAGACTGACAAATGGTTTCTTTCCAGGAAGCTATGAGGGACCCTGTGAGTAGCCAGTACAGCTCCTTTCTTTTCTGGAGGATGCCCATCCCAGAGCTGGATCTTTCGGAGCTGGAGGGCCTGGGTCTGTCAGATACATCCACCTACAAGATCAAGAACAGCATCAGTGGCAAAATGACCAGGCAAGCAACAGGAGCAGACCAGAAGAAAAACCCTGAAGGTGATCATGCCCTTCTTGAGTACAGCACCTTCAACTTCTGGAGAACTCCCATTGCTGGCATCCACTCCTTTGAACTGGACTTGCTCTAAGGCCAAGATTTCTCTCCCACCAACCTTGCCCTCATTGTCTTCCTTTTCAAGCCCCTTCCTTTCCACTCCTTTCCCATTTTAATCTTGTTCTCTCTATTGTGTTGGTGGTGCTGATGAATCTGCCAGAGTTGAATTGTATTGTTTGTGTTTATTTATTTATTTATATCTCTCTCTGTATGTATTCCTTTTCACTCAAAAGCCCTCAAGCCACAAAGTAAAGGGTTCAAGCAATGGAGTATTGGGTCAGAGAGATTCCTCCTTTTCCCCCCCAAATACTTCAGAAAACAGGCCTGATGGCAGTACTAGTACAGTAGTGCAAAACAGGAGCCTGCAAGTTTTAATTTAAGATTATCTGCTACAAGACAGTAGAATTTCTAAAAAGCTAAGGTAATAAGACTTGATTTTTTGGCTTTTTTGATCCTGCTCCTTCTTGCAATACACTTTTTCTCAGAGAAACTGGGGGGAGTTAAAGGTATAAAAAAGAGGAAATAATACATCATTGAAAATGAAAATAGGGAAAAGCATTGAATCATTTCAGAACTAGCTAAGTTGTTTCTTTTTCAAAAGGGTGTTCCTTCTTCAAGTCCACTTACTTTGCAACCTTGCTCCTAACTGTGGGTTGAAAACTCTAGCTGAGGAAAGTTAGACTTCAAATCTTTGGATGCAATCTTGCTGCCTATTACAATAATTTGTAAGATTTTGATTCAGTCTTCTAAAAGGCACTGGGTTTGGTCCTTAGTATTTTAGTCTTGCCGTCCTGCGTTTGCAATATATAATACTGATCAATGGGCCTCAGGCAGTTCTTTAGCTACCTTGAAACCAGGAAATGAACAATTACATTCTGACCCTACACCTTGTCCCCACTCCTTCCAAAATTACTGCTGCTGAATTGTGCTGCCATTTACTCATTTAATAAAGACATTCAATCCCAGGACTGGATTCTAGTTTTCTCTCTTTACAGGGAAGCGGTATAGATCTCAGAAATTAGCCTTGCTTTCACACTCAGCATATACTTAACCTTCCTAATATTCACCTTTGAGAAAGAATGATTTGAATAGCATTTAAACATTAAATGGTGAACTTCAGATAGAACAGATAGGCAACAAGGAAAAAGGTGATATCAACTTAAAATTAGAAAAGTAGTAAGGGAAAAAGCTACAACCACTCTTCTGCTTGTCCACTACCAACATATTTCAGGTAATAATTCTCCTAGGTGCCTAGAAAAATAAATTCACCCAAATATGTTATCTGCTTATTTATAACTCACCTCATTCCAAAAAACTACTTGAAACTAACTTCTTTTTTTTTTTTAAAGATGACCAGTAAGGGGATCTTAACCCTTGGCTTGGTGTTGTCAGCACCACGCTCAGCCAGTGAGCGAACCGGCCATCCCTATGTGGGATCCGAACCCATGGCTTTGGTGTTACCAACACCACACTCTCCCGAGTGAGCCATGGGCCGGCCCGAAACTAACTTCTAAGTACTTTTGTGTATACTATGTGAAAAGCCCTGAGCCAGGCAAAAAAAAGACGTAAACGGGAAGGAGACAAGATTCTGACTCTCAAAAAGGGCAGCTGTAAATACCAATATGGATAGTTTTGGGTATTAAGCCGTACTTTAAAGATAACACGAACAGGATCCAGAGAAGTTCGGAGGAAGGGAAACATGTAAATCCTTCTAAGCCTTGAAAGGGCCACCTTCTAAAGATGATCCAAGTTTGATAAAGAATGGGACCTGGATCTGGCCAGTTAGCTCAGTTGGTTAGAGCACGACTCTACAACACCAAGGTCACGGGTTCAGATCCCCAAACCGGCCAGATGCCCCCGACACCCCCAAAAGAATGGGGCCAGATGTGTCCTTTTCTATTTTCACTGATTTGTGCTCACAGCCCTTTAGTCATGGCAATTGGTGAGTGAAGCTGGGGATCAACTGTTTGGTTAAGTAAAATGACCAAATGGATTTGCAAACTCATGCTCCATCCTCTTCCAGGCCCTGCCAAAAGAAATATCAGCTATTTGCTTCATTGTCCACACTAACAGCTTGGCTCTTCAGGCCTTACATTCAGGCAGTAACTGCAAATACGTGTCCGTCACTGACAGGGAGGCATCAGAGTCCAACTCACGAGCAAAGCCAGGACTGTCCCAAACATCTTCACCCGAAGTTAGAACAAGGAAACAAGGTTTTCTCATGAACCCTAAGCCTGACCCCCTGGAGAAGAAACCAAGACGTAGGATGGAAATTCCAGGACCGATGCATAAATCATTTCTCGCCAGCTGTACACTCAGTTGTTGGCGCCAAAACAACCAACAGGGTCCGTCCCAGCTGGAACTAGACGTAAGACACGTAATCGATAACCCTCCGCCTCGTCAAATAGTCCTGACCAAGATGTGTTGGATACACACTTCTCCACCTCAAAAGCCCTTCAGTAGGTAGGAAATGAGCCTCAGAGCCGCATCATCTTTCTGTTCGAATGGAAATGTGGGTTTTATAATCATTTTCTCTCCGAAGATTCCTCCGCCAGAACTCATATTCGCTGAGCCTTCACTTCCGAGTACGCCATTTTGTTGCCTCCATTTCTCCAGGAGGGGGGGCTAAAGGCCCCCAAAATATGCATATATGAAAAGGCCAAAAAGTAACCGTCACTGACAGGGAGTCTTAACTAGAGAAGGAAACGGGACCACACTGGCAGCCTCGGGGAAAGCGCAGCCGGCAGCGTCCCGGACGAGGAGGTGAGAGGGAAGAAGACATGCGTGTACTCTGGGGAGCGTCAGGGCTGGAATGGAAAATGCCGAGAGAAGTCGCACCGCTCCCCAGCCCCGGATGCTGGGTGCGGACCGAGCGGCACCCCCTCACCAAAGCAGGGGCAGCTGGGGAAGGGACGGAGAGGAAGGGGATGCTGTCGGGAGGAAGGGGAGGGGACTGGGAGGAGGTGAAGAAGGGGGTGGGTGTAAGACCTGAGGCTGGGGAGCTGGACCAAGGGAAGCCAAGGCCACAAAGGTGACCACTAGTGGGCGGTGTGGAGCAGGGGTCGATGCCTCCCCTCTGTCAGAAAGGACACTGGTGTGAGGTACCGATGTGATAGAGAGGGAAACCGGACTCTAATTCTCTGACCGCAATAATAACCTAAAGATTATTAGTGAGCTCAGTCATCTGAACAAGAGCAGTAACGGCCCCGCCTCCAGTTCTTGCAGATGTTTGTACATTTCGCCGCTCAGTGGGGACGTGTGCAATACAAAAAGAAAAATAAATGATTGCTAGATAATGGGTTCTTCAATTGCCCCTATCCTTCTCATTAGCTTTGTCCTATTCTCACAGATTTCCTTCGACCAGCAGAAGTCATCCCATTCCTCTCCCCCATCCCAGAAAAGGATGTTTTATGGCTTACCTGCAATTTAATATTTTTGGCCATTTGGGACCATATTTTTTTTTGTTTTTGCAGACATAGGCATACTGGATGAGACCACATTTTCATCGTACCATTTGATTACCCAGTCCAGCAGAGATATTCTTAAGCATCTGTTTTCATACTTGCTTTGATAACAATGAGAGAACTGCCCCACCCAAATTATGTAAACAAAAGTAAACACTCTTTGGTAATAGAGTACTTTGTTGTCAAGAGCTCAAGCACTTCATACATTATTAAAACACACCTACCGAAAGTTCTTGTGTGTTGTGGGGGCAGGGAGTCAGTATTTTATTTATTCCAAAATCCTCGGAGGAGGGTTAGAACAGATTTTTTTTGTAAACAGCCTTAATTAATTAACTGTTTAAAAATTAACTTTTTTTTTTTTGGCGGGGGGAGCAGGCTGGTATGGGAATCCGAATCCGTGACCTTGGGGTTACCAGCAGCATGTTCTGCCAAGTGAGCTAGCCAGCCAGCCCCTAATTAATTTTATTTTTCCTTGTATAAAACTCTATGTTGTAGTGACAGCTGGAGCCTGGGTCCTCTGCATAGACTCTGGTGTGGGTCTTTACAAGACAGTCAGTGAATTCCTGATAGGGACATTTGTTGAACACAATCTCCTTCCAGAGGTCAGGGGCCAGATAGCTGTAAGTCTTGGAAGTAGCCTTAGTGTAGTGCTCAGGGTGGCAGTGCAGCACCTGGCTGAGGTGTAGCGGTTGTCAATACCAGCCATCAGCAGCAGCTTCTTGGGCACAGGGGGCCAAGACAATGTCAGTGCTTCTGGGGGCAGGGATGAGGTACACCAGCACAGAGCTGCACCAGCCTGTCACTTTGCAAGGGACATTGTGGGGCTTGTCAATCTTGTTCCCCCAGTAGCCTGAACCAGGACGGTGGAGAGTTTGGCCAGGATGATGGCCTCTCAATGGTGGTGACTATCTCCTTGGAGTACTTAATACCCAGATCATGTGGCCATTGTAATCCCTGATGGCGACAAATGCCTTGAACCTGGTCCACTGGTCAGCATGAGTCTGCTTTTGCATGGGCATAATCTTAAAAACCTCATCCTTGAGGGATGTTCCCAGGAAAAAGTCAATGATCTCAGACTCCTTGATGGGCAGGGAGAAGAGTTAGATCTCTTCCAGGGACTTAATCTTCGTGTCCTTGACCAAGAGGCCCTGCTTAGTAACGGTGATCCACTCCTTGTCCTCAGCCTTGCCTCTGCAAGCTCTGCAGCCGCAATCCTGGTCCCAGAAGTCACTGCAGAAGCCTCTGTGGAAGCCGCCACACCCTCCCATTCCAGGGCCCACAGGGCCCTCCTTCTGTACCGGCGTTATCCACCATTTGGTGTTCTCTAGGAGAAGAAGGAAACCAGATTTTGTTTCCTCACTTTATATATAGGGAAAGTGGAGGTACATCCAGTGAAAGAGAATGTTTTTCCCTTTGTTGTTAGTAGCCAGGGAGTCGGAATTGCCTAGACTGTTCCCTAGTCTGTTAGGTTATATCTTTTGTCTGGTGGGTTCTGCCAGCATTGACATAGGATACAGGGAGAATGGCACATAGTCCCCTCAAAATGCTGTTATTTTAAAAATACATTTTACTTTTACTTAATATAGATGCTTCAGGTTAACTCAAAAGAATAACTGAGGATAGGGAGAGAAAGAGCCTTGAAGAATACATTTCTAGCAGACCTTTTTTATATTGGGTGATGTGTATACACCTATTTACATTCTAATCCCAAAGTTTGATTATATCTCTGTATAGTAAGAAATAAGGCTTTTCATGTCTTGTTTGAAGAATGGAACGATGTATTTGGGTTAAGGACATTCTTAAGTAGAACTGGCTTCCCCCCTCTCCCACGAGTACATGACAGTGAAGAATACGATAACTAGTAGTACAGGTTGATTTGTTCTAAGGCACCAGCAGTTATACCCACCATCGCATTTGCACCACCAGGGCAAATGTTAACATGGTGAAAAAGGCAAATAAAGTCTTAGTATTATAATAAAAATAGCTTTGACCTCATGGATCCCTGAAAGGGTGTTAGGGATCACCAGGGGTCCATGTACCACACTTTTTGAACTGCTGGCCTAAGCAGGTCAGTGTTTGACAGTGTTTGCTCTCAAACTTTAAGCATAATTATATCTTTACACCACAGTCAGAAGATACAGAAAAGGTTAACAAATACAGTTTGATTTAGAAACCTTGATGTGTCCTGTTTCATTGTGCCATCCAAAGACCTATAAACCTCCAGAAAGAGTAGTCAGTTGCCAATAAGTGTTCCCATAATTTCCATCAATCAGCAGTTCCATAGGTGGACATCCTCCTTGGTCTCTGCCTGAAAATCATGGTGTATGTATTATTACTTTGTTCTGTGTTCCTTAAAACCTACTCTACCCCTGGTCATTTCAAGGGGATGAAATGCTGTTTTATTGATTTCATAAACTAGAAAGGTGGTAATGTGTTACACATATTTCTGGAGTATTTTTCTGGAGATCGAAAGTGAGGAACTATCCTTTAGGGCCTGATTCTTTCTCAGATATCTTATTGTTTGTGGTAGGTGAGGTTGAAAAGTAACTGACCTACCAGACAGTCAACTTAAAATGTACAAGTATCTTAACATATATTCAAGTACAAGAAGTCTTCTAAAAACATTTTACAGGCAGCTACCTGAAAACTTTTGTTCCTATGCATAAAGATGTCTTTGGTGGACTTAGGAAAGAGGTTGCTAGAAGCAGCAAGAAAAGGCCAAGAAGATGAAGTGAGAACATTGATGGCAAATGGAGCCCCATTCACCACAGATTGGGTAAGCTTAATGAAAAGGTCTCTTAATTATTTCCAATACATGCTTTTACCAGCCTTTTTCTTAAAAGTGAAACACAGTTGATTTCATTCCTTTTCTACCTCATTCCTCTTACAAGTGTTTTATTTTCTTTGTCTCAGCTGAATATGTGACTTTCTTTTTCTTTTAGTTTTCTAAATTGAAAGAATCTCCTGTGGCTATATAAGTGGTAATTGTAAGGTATTATGTACTTGTGATTTTCTATAATGCTTTTTAGAGTATTTTCTTAAAGTTTAATTCTCTCTGGAGTGTAATTGGGTTATAGGCTTCTGTAATTAGCTAGAAATTAAACAAAATCAGTATAATAAGAGTGCATTTCTAGACTAATAAATTCTTTGTTTCTTTTTGTCTATTATGTCCTGGTTAATAGGAATTCTAGTCATTTTGTTTCCATTACCACTCTTAAAAAACATTAAAGAGAAAGTTGTAATTTTTTGAGCCTAGACAACTAACTTGGAGACCAGAGAGTTTCAGAAAATCCAGGTCCAGTTTATAATGTGGGCTTTTTTAACGTTCACAAATTTTGTACAAATTGCTTAATTTTATTTTGTTTGGTAGTTGGCTTGTAAGGGTATCCAAACCCTTGACCTTGGTATTATTCCCACCGTGCTCTAACCAAGTGAGCTAACTGGCCAACCCCTCGTATTAATTAATTTTAACATTTCTAAAAGTGAGTGACCTCTATTCTACGGTGATTAATTCATAACTTCAGAGGCCAACAGGTTCTTACCACTTCACAAAAAGGAAGAAAAGGAAACCCATAAGATTAGCATATCTATAAATAGACCTGAAAAGTGCAATGTGAATTAAATCCAGTCAGGCAAAGAGGCTGAATATATGGGGCCGGCCCGGTGGCGCACTGCTACAGTGCGCCGCTTGGGAGTGTGGCGGCGCTCCCGTCGAGGGTTCGGATCCCACATACAGACTGGCCGCTCACTGGCTGAGCGAGGTGCGGGCGCAACACCGAGGGTTGGGATCCCGTTGCCGTCCCGGTCCGGTACGGGCGCGACACTGAGGGTTGCGATTGATCCGTTGCCGGTCACGAAAAAAGACAAAAAGGAAAAAAAAAAGAGGCTGAATATATGAAAGCCAAAGAATAAACTAAACAGGCTTAAAATAAAGAGCATAACCCAAAGGAAGAAATAGGTCTCTGGCCAAACTAGATGCTGATTGATATCTCTTAGAAAATTTACTGCATTGAGATGACACTGCATTGAGACTTGCTTATAGCTGTTGATAAACCCCTGCTAATTTTTTTTTCTTTTTTTGGTGGCTGGACAGTATGGGGATCTGAACCCTTGACCTTGGTGTTATCAGCACCACACTTTCTCAAGTGAGGTAACAGGCCAGCACCCACTGCTAGATTTTTATTGCCTTTTAATCTCATCAATCTTTTGGCTCTGCTCTACTGTGGCAACAAACTTCTATTCCAGCCAATCAGATTTATACCCCAATTCCCACATATAGCTTTCTAATCTCTGCCCCTTTCCTAAGAATTGTTTTGAACCTGTCTATACCTTCTCTTTACCCCTGACTCAGAATGCTCTTTTTGATTCTTTTTTTTTTTTTTTTTTACCTTCTTTTGAACCCTGTTTAAAATCATGTTCTTTAGGGAATCTTACCTGATAAATAAATTCACCTGACTTAAAGCCATTATACTTAGCACTTATTTAATTGGTAGTATATTTATTTGCCTATTAGTATATTAATTTTTAAATTAAATCATTTCTTCAGTCCTATCTGCCCAACCAGATTCTTTCTGCAAGGACAAGAACCATAGGATTCACCTCTTGTTCATTTACATCTCTCCAGCAATGATCTAGGACTCTTCACACAGTGGATATTCAATGAGTATTATTTTCCCACAGCTTGGAACATCACCCCTCCACCTTGCAGCCCAGTATGGTCATTATTCCACAGCAGAAGTGCTTCTTCGAGCAGGAGTTAGCAGGGATGCCCGGACCAAAGTGGACAGGACCCCCTTGCACATGGCTGCAGCTGATGGACATGCGCACATCGTGGAACTACTTGTTAGGGTAAAGCAAGGACAGTGGTGGGGCTATATTGTTAAAAAAAAGACATCCACCTGTTATCTTACTTAAACAAGTGGTAGGAAACTGGGATGAGAAGGATTAAGTTTAGGACAGTTTATAGCATTGAGTTGCATCTCCTTCAGAGTCATGGATGTGAGGAGTTTGTTTTCTAATATTTTAAAGGCTAAACAGACTTTATTGATTTTTCTTCATTCCCTTTCTGCAGGTGTTCTCTGCACTTATGCCTATTTTTTCAAGCACTCAGCTCTTTGTTAATACATGCAACAAAAATTTGTTCTTTCCCCCTTCCTCTTCCATCTGTTGTAATTTCCCAGTGATGTCCTTAGAAGACCCATTTATTGAAAACATTATGTCTGTCAGCATTCAGGAGAATTTGAGAAATGTTTTTCCCTTTTGTATTCCTTAAATATGATCTAAATTTGAGTATGTGTAATTACTATGGAAATCCTCTGTATTTGGTGAAGAGATCTTGCACCTGTGATACTGTAAGCAGTATTTGTTGAAAAAATTGCTTTTCTGTGACAGAATGGTGCAGATGTGAATGCCAAGGACATGCTGAAGATGACAGCTTTGCATTGGGCCACAGAGCATCACCATCGAGATGTTGTAGAGTTACTTATCAAATATGGAGCTGATGTCCATGCTTTCAGCAAATTTGAGAAATCTGCCTTTGACATAGCCCTGGAGAAAAACAATGCCGAGATTTTGGTCATCCTCCAGGTGTGGTTCTTTTTATACTCCCCAGAGTATACTTCAATTGAAGTTAAGGATTTTTTTGTAGGAGTTGAATCAAAACTGAATTTTCCCTATCTTATCTAAGTAGTACTTCTAATAAGTCTCCATCTTGTGACTCAGTGTCATTAGTATATTGAAAAAAATAATAATAACATTCTATAAAGCCCTGAATTATTCATGGTGATTAAAGAACAAAGTTGTGGCCAGTACAAAAATGACATTAATTTGGCTTTAGAATTTTTTCTCCATGATATTTCCCTTTCTAATTAAATTTGACTTGGGGCAATATTAAAAGTCACTTTGTGTTATTCTTAATACATATCAAGTGATGTGAGACAGTATTAAAATTAGCCATAATGATTTCAATTATTAATTTCTTTTTTTTTTTTCTGACCGGTAAGGGGATCGCAACCCTTGGCACGGAGTGGTCTGCACCACACTCAGCCAGTGAGCGCACCGGCCATCCCTATATAGGATCTGAACCCATGGCCTCGGCGCTACCAGTGCTGCACTCTCCCGAGTGAGCCACGGGGCCAGCCCTCAATTATTAATTTCTTAAGCCAGCACTTGTATATCAGGGAACAATTGAATGGAGGATATAAAAATGAATAGGACATGGCCTTGCCTTTGGAGTGTTTACAACATAAGAGTAAAAGCAGGAAGTAAAGCATTACAATACTATGTGATACACAGATATCTAGCAAGTGTTATGGGAGCACCGAGGAGGGAGTGTTAATGATGCTTAAGGGAAGTATTAAAGTACATGTAGGATTTGGGCCAGCCTGTGGCTCAGTCAGGAGAGTGTGGTGCTGATAACACCAAGGCCATGGGTTTGGATCCCATATAGGGAAGACCGGTTAGCTCACTGGCTGAGCGTGGCGCTGAGCATGGTGCTGACAACACCAAATCAAGGATTAAGATCCCCTTACCGGTCATTTAAAAAAAAAAAAGTATATGTAGGATTTGAACTGAGTTTTGAAGGAGAAATAGGTAGAGAATTATAGCCTAAATTATATTTTAGTCTCGAAAAAGAGCAAATCAGGGCCAAGCCCGTGGTGCACTCGGGAGAGTGCGGCGCTGGGAGTGCAGCAGCGCTCCCGCCGTGGGTTCGGATCCTATATGGGGATGACCGGTGTGCTCACAGCGCTCACTGGCTGAGTGCGGTGCGGCCAGTCTCAAAAAGGACAAAAAAAGAAAAAGAACAAATCAAAGACAGCTGGTTGGTTAGTTCAGTTGGTTAGAGCATGGCAATGATAACACCAAGGTCCAGGGTTTGATCCCTGTACTGTCCAGTTGCCAAACAAACAAACAGATAAACCCACTATATGAAGAAAGACATAGAGGATAGGAAGAATGTGGAATGTTAGGAAAGAGTAAGTAGTTGTGTGAGTAGAGAACAGGCAAAATAAGTGGGGTCTGGGAGTGGTGGATGCTGAGGCTTGAGAGTTAGGTTGAGTTCAAACATAGGGATGTTACATGGCATGTGAAGGAGTTTGAACTGTATGTGGGCAATGGGGGTCCAATAGAAGCTTTTAAATAGAGGACTGGTATGATTAGATTTGTTTTAAAAAGATGACTGTGTGGAGTGTGACACAGAGATTGGAAAGAGAAAACACTTAATGCTAAATAACCATATGGTGACTTTCATTAGGCCAGGCGAGGGCCAATGAAGGCTTGAACTGAGAAAGTGATAGTGGAAAATAGGAGGGGCAGATTCAAGAAGGAATTTAACAGTGTCCAAAGAATGGATAATGTTTCAGTTGGAGCTCTTAGTCAAGGGGATAATTACATATGAAAAATAGTCATTTCTGCTGCATTTTCAGTTTTTTGTTTGTTTTCCTGATAGATGGTTCCCTATAGACTGGTTATCCTCTTCAGCTTTCAATTCCTTGTTTAGAGCCCTTTCATAACTGAACTATTTTAGTAGTGATCATGTTTGTAGAAAACTGCTTTTAAAAGTAAAAAAATAAAATAAAGACAAGCACATTTTTACTGAAATTGAGCAAATATCCCTGGAAGCAAAAGTGTAGCATATGGAACTAGACTTTAAAATCTGGCACTCATTTATTTGCTTTTTATACTGTCTCTTAGGAATTTCTTCAATGGCAGGATGGAACAAGTAGTTGGACAAACTCTAGAGAATATTGTTCTCTGTGGGTTCTCTATAGAGATCTCCTACTCGCACAGTGTCTTGTAGATGGTTGATCATGGAATATTCGTGCTGGAAATAACTTTTTAGACTATTCAGGCCAACTCCTTGATTTTTTAAATGGAAATAAAACATGAGATCCAGAGAAGTTAAGTAAATTGTCTAGAAGTTTTTGCAAATAATACACCTTTGCTTTCTTCAGGTAAAAGGAAGCTTGGGAAAGCAACCTAATATCTCTGTTGCTCTGGTCCGAAAATAAAAACAGTAGTCTTAATGAGAACTCTTGAGTTCCCTGGGAAATTTTGTGCCAGAACTAGTTCTGCTTGATGGAGCACTGGAGGTGGGAGTTGGGGTGGTAAAACGCTGTTCAGGAACTGTACAACTAAAGCTAATAAGTGTTCTGACTTTGAGATATCCTGCCTTATTTGGTAGGAAGCAATGCAGAATCAGGTAAATGCCAATCCTGAGAGAGCAAACCCTGTGACTATGGCTGCTCCATTCATCTTCACTTCGGGAGGGGTTGTTAACCTCACAAGCCTTGTTTCTTCAGCCAACACCAAATCAACCTCAGGTAATGTTCTAATAATGTGGCATTTGTTTTAGGCTTAAAAATGATCAGAACCCCAGGTTTAAAAACAAAAACAAAAACAAACGAAAAAGAACCCCAGGTTTACTAGAGATGAATGCATACACTGTCTGATACCCACTGCTTTATTAAAATATTTCCAAAACAGAAGCTTTATAATAGATTTCAGAACTAAGGCGTTTATTTCTGGAAGAAGGAAAGATCATACGTAGGGATTATACATGATTACTTACTGTGTTAAAAGTAAAATATTCTACAGATTAATCTATTAATCTATTGAAGGATTATGACTGACCCCAAAATGACAATATAAGTGTACCTTGACATGGCACTGCTAAGGGAAGTAACTAAACATTCATAGTCTCAAGCAGTAACAAATTAAGCAGAATAAACATAAGTGACTGTTGGAGTGTTAATATAAAAGAGGTACATGTGATTATTTGATTTGTTCTTTAGAGCACATATAAAAACAAAATAGAGAAAAATATTTGGTGTTGGTCTTTTGAGACCTGTATGTTTCAAACAACAACTTCTACCTAAAAAGGAAGAAATGAGTTTATTTTCAACATCTTCCTTTACAAATATTTGTTTTACAGTGGAGGAACTTGTGTTCTCATTTAAATAAATTTTCAAGTTGATTCTTGGTTTCTTTTTCTGTTTATGACTTTAATTTTAAAATAAACTACTGTTTATAACACCAAGGTCAAAGGGTTCAGATCCCCACACCAGCCAGCCACCAAAAAAAAAAAAAAAAATTTTAATAAACAAACAAACAACTGTATTCCTAGTTAAGTTTGTATAACACCAAAGGAAAGATCTTGAATGAGGCATTACTGAGAGGCAGTGTGGTAAAATAGAAGAAACATGTACATAATATACACAGAATTTTAGAATCAGAACTGTGTTTAGTTATTTATTGATTGACTAACTGCTGACCTTGGGAAAATTGTCTCTCTAATCCTTGTTTATTTATCTGTAAAACTGGGATAAAATAATACCTACTTTATGAGGTTATTGTGAGACTTTGAAATTTTGTATTTCAGTGTCCATTTTATAGCAAGGCTTCAATAATAGCTATTAAATGAAAATAAAACTTCTCGATGAAGGTCGACCCGTCATGCCCACAAGGGGGCAATAGTGACCTTCATTTTATAGGCTATCAGCAGTCATTTAAAATCATTTTGCTTTCAGCTGGATGATTTTTAAAATTTAGCTTAAATATACATATATATGTAGTCAGAACATTCACAACCTTTTGGATTTGTAGTGGTTCAGATCACATTGATTAGAACAAATGCTTTTAGGGCCAGCCTGTGGCTCACTTGGGAGAGCGTGGTGCTGAAAACACCAAGGTCATGGGTTCGGATCCCTATATAGGGATGGCTGGTTAGCTCTCTTGGGAGAGCGTGGTGCTGAAAACACCAAGGTCATGGGTTCGGATCCCTATATAGGGATGGCTGGTTAGCTCTCTTGGGAGAGCGTGGTGCTGACAACCCCAAGTCAAGGGTTAAGATCCCCTTACCGGTCATCTTTTAAAAAAAAAAGAACAAATGCTTTTATAATCCAAAAGTCTTTAGAAGCCAATAAAGATATGTGTTCACAAATATGTGAAAAGAGCTAGTTGGTCTTTGGGCTACTGAAATTCTCCAGACCCTGCTCTGGAATGATAAGCAAAGTTGAACATATTCAAGATAGATATTTTTTGTCTTGTTTTTTGGAGCCAATATCATGTTTGTTGTGTAGCTTTTGGCAGACCTACTCTTCTTTCTTATTTTCCTATGCTGAAACTGCAAATTGAAATTGCTAAACTATCACATAAATAGCATAAATAGAGCTGACCTCCCCAATCTCATCTTATTAATGAAGCAGTTCTTCCTAGCTGTCCCCCTTTAGTGGATTGACCTACTTGATGCTTAATCAGTGCAGATGAAAGAAAGGAGGGAAGTTATAAGACTGATTCAGGTTGTGTGTTATTCAACTGAGTTAAAGAATTTTCTTTTCTAGAATGGTTGGCCAGTTAGTTCAGTTAGAGTGCAGTATTGTAACACTAAGGTCAAGGGTTTGGATTACTGAACTGGCCAGCCGCCCAAATTAAAAAAAAAAAAAAAGAGAGAACATAGAATGGTTTATGGGCTTCTTGTTTCCCGTCATCCAATATTTTTTAAAGAATTAACTGAAAGTATCCTGGGATTATCATTTTAGTAAATATTTTTTTTTTTTTAAAGGTGACCGGTAAGGGGATCTTAACCCTCGACTTGGTGTTGTCAGCACCACGCTCACCCAGTGAGCAAACCGGCCATCACTATATGGGATCCGAACCCGCGGCCTTGGTGTTATCAGCACCGCACTCTACCGAGTGAGCCACAGGCCGGCCCTTTAGTAAATATTTTTGATACCAAAATTCAGATTGCAAAATTCACTTTCAGATTTCCTATCTGTGTCTAAGGATATCAATTATCATCAGTGCCACCATCAAACTGCAGGGATTTGGGAGGGCAGACTAATTTAAACATTAATCAGGGCAAAACGAAGTTATGAAGATGAATTTCCTGTTTCTGCACAATCATAAGATACATTCCAAATTCAAATATAAATAGCTTTGTGTTGCTTCATAAACAGCATAGGCTTTGGAATCAGATGGATAAAATTCTAATCTGGGTTCTGACACTAGCTATATGACCTTGGGCAAATTGGTTAGTTTTTCTGGGTCTAGTTTTCACTAACTTATTGAAATTGTTTAGCCTGCTATTACTCACTTTCCTAAATCCGGGTCTGAAGAGTTTATTTTTATAAGCCATGTTCTGAATAGGTGGTAAAAGTCATCACTCATAATGCCTTTTCCCTTCCAAAAACAATGGCATCCATTCACATGTTACTTTATTTGATGTTGCATCTTACATTGAAGAGAAGTAATTAACATTCTTGAACATTAAAGTACTTTTTTCCCCCTCTAATTCACTAGGATAAGCATAAAGAAGTAATTTGCATTGTCTCTTTTCAGTTTTAACTGTGCATGTCAGAATACTAAACCTGGTTTTTTACAAATGTTCTTTCTTCATTTTGCTATTGAGGGGAAGTTGGGTGAGTTGTTGTGTTTGAATCAAAGGGAGAGCACCATTAGATTGGAATCATCATAAGCTGAAAAGCATATACTGCTTTTCTCATGAAGGAGTTCTACACAGCTATTCTCCAAGCTGGGTAGCTTACCTGATGCTTGGCCTACTTGAACTTTAATTACCAGAGACTTGGATTTTCTTTTTTCTTTTTTTAACTGTGGTAAAATAATAATAGCCTTGTTTTTTGATTGCTTATGATTTATAGTCACATATATTCCAACCTCCATGAGGGACATGTGTCTAAAAATTGCTTGTTCTTTGTTTCAGTTGAGGAGGACTTGTGAGTTCCAGTATCAGTATTTGGTATGACAGGCTGAGTGACAAGAAAAGCATGAACTGAGCAGGAAAATTCGGGAATAGGCTGTAGTTGAATCTTGCTCCGCCTGGAATCATTAGATAGACATAGACTCCTTGTGGAGGTCAAATACTGTGTTCCACTCAGACCACTTGATTCCCTGGGTATTTTGTGAGAGAATTAGAATAAAATTGGATATCATCACTATCTCCACCCTCATTCCTACTCCCCCAATTTTTTTTTTTTAAAGTGTTGATATGGATTTATTGGAGGTCAATTTCACAGTGATCATTTGTGGGAAAGGGAAAATGAAGCAAAGATATATTGGAGGAAAGATGGCAGAGCAGACCGAAGCTGTGCATGTTCCAGCAGATGAGACTGAGCAGATCAATAGGCTTCTTGAAAATCTGTTAAAGGAATTTCATGGGTCTGGCAACTGGAGCAAGATGGCAACACACCAAGAAAACTCCCTTTTGGGCTGGGCTGTTGAATTTGTGGGAGCAAAAAGGAGAACTTGTATATATCAGAATCAGACTGCATTAACTAGCTGCTGTAGTTGTTGACTATACTATACACGGGCTAAAAAATTCTTGTTGAAAAGTGGAAAGGCTCACATGATAGTTGTGTTCACTCAAAGGCACCTGATATGGAAACAGTGAGGTTTTTTTAGCTTTTTTCAGTGTCAGTAACATTCTCTATAATTAACCACATGTTTGCAGAGTTGAAAAGACTTACTGAGTGATTTCTGATTGTGTGACCTCTGAATTGCTTAGTGGACATGAGCATAAGTGGTGACTTCCTGACTGTATTTATTCTTCAGTATGCAACACAGCTGTCCTTTATTCTTACTTTACATTTGGAAAAGTAGAAGAGCTTTAGTGCTTACTGTTCTGTTTTAATTGCTTTCAAATGGTCTGAATCTCATCAGATTGTTGGAATTGGCAATATCTGATCAGTTTGATGCACTTAGACAATATCCCTTGAATTTAGCAGGAGGAGCCATGAATGCAGCTTTTGATTCTGATGCAGATACTTACACAATCTTAACTAAAATTCAATGCATAAAAATCAGTTCTGTTTCTGCCAAAGCAAATGCACTGCTAAAATTTGAAGACAATGTCCACCTTTTTCTCATGATTATCTTTATTCACTGGCATCTCTTTAAAGGAATTTAATACTTACTTTTGTCTATTTTACCCCTTACTATTCTGAGTAGATTATTGTTATCTACATCTAAATAAACAAGTGACCTACAGGAATCATTTTTATTTATTTATTTATTTATTATTTTAGATTCCACATGTGAGTGAGATCATGTGGTATTTGTCTTTTTGTGCCTGATTTACTTAACATGATGGTTTCCAGTTCCATCCACGTTGCTGCAAATGATAGGATATCATTTTTTTAAATAGCTGAGTAGTATTCCATTGTGTATATTATACCAGATTTTTTTTTTTATCCTTTCATCTGTTGATGGGCATATTTAAGTTGATTCCATCTCTTGGCTATTGTGGATAGAGCTGTGATGAACATGGGAGTGCAGGGGTCTTTTTGATATATTGATTTCATTTCCTTTGGTTATATACCCAAGAGTGAGATAGCTGGGTTGTAGGGTACATCTATTTTTAGTTCTCTGAGGAATCTCCGTACTTTTTCCAGAGTGGCTGTACCAATTTACACTCCCACTAGCAATGTAGGAGAGTTCCTTTTTCTCTGCATCCTCGCCAGCATTTTTTATTTTCTAGTCTTTTTTTTTTAAATTTTATTTTGTCGATATACATTGTGGTTGATTATTGTTGCCCCTTACCAAAACCTCCCTCCCTCCTCCCTCTCCTCCTTCCCACCCAACAATGTCCTTTCTGTTTGCTTGTCATATCAACTTCAAGTAATTGTAGTTATTATATCTTCTTCCCCCCGCCCCCACGGTTTTTTTTTATTTTATTTTATTTTTTTGTGTGTGTGTGTGTGTGTGTGCATTTATTTATTAATTTTTAGCTCCCACCAATAAGTGAGAACATGTGGTATTTCTCTCGTAATAACTTCGTATAGCATACATTATACGAAGTTATACGATGTTGGCTTTCTTAAGTGAGTTTAAAAGCATGATAAAACTCTTATTTTAAAAGTTTATGATTTTAAAGGTGCTTGGTAAAAATGAGCTCTCATTCTGTAGCAAGCTACACATTAACAGAAGCCAAAATGCCACAATTTCCCTTACTCAAAGCATGCAGAACAGATTTTTACTGTAAACACACATGCTGTTTTCCTTTTTGCCCCGAACATAGTTCCTTCTCAGTCCGGCTTCCAGTCTTCCTTTCTGGGCTGCCTTTGGCTGTTCCCCAAAGAGAAGCAGACACAGAGCCCAGTTCTATGATCAGACTTGTGACTTTTTTGTCTTTTTCCGTGTCCGGCAACGGATCGCAACCCTCAGTGTTGCCCCCGTACCGGACTGGGGACCGGCAATGGGATCGCAAGCCTCGGTGTTGCTCCCGCGCCTTGCTCAGCCAGTGAGCGGGAACCGGTCTGTATGTGGGATCCGAACCCTCGGGTGGGAGCGCCACCGCGCTTCCCAAGCGGCGCACCCATCCAGTGCGCCACCGGGCCGGCCCACTCCCTAAATTTTTGACTAAGATGGTTTGCAGCTGTGAGGAGTACCTACACAAGATACCAGTAATCAACCTTTTTAAGGAAAATCTGCTGGAATTTAAATTTATAAACCAGTTAGGTTACGTAGATTAATCACATCAGAAAAGTATTCTTTGCTCTGTGGAAAGGTTTTCTTTTTTTTTCTTTTTTTTCTTTTTATTTATTTATTTTTTTTAAAAGATGACCGGTAAGGGGATCTCAACCCTTGGCTTGGTGTTGTCAGCACCACGCTCAGCCAGTGAGCAAACCGGCCATCCCTATATAGGATCCGAACTCGCGGCCTTGGTGTTATCAGCACCGCACTCTACCGAGTGAGCCACGGGCCGGCCCTGTGGAAAGGTTTTCTATAAGGAGTGTTAAATAGGAGTTTCCATAAGTATTTTACAAATAAATGACTTCTTGATAGAAGAAAAGCTGGAAAGAATCTTTAAGCATAGATAGTAGGAAAACTTAAAAATTAAGAGAACATGGACTGGCTGGTGAACTCACTCTTGTAAGAGTACTGTGTTGATAACACCAAAGTCAAGGGTTCAGATCCCCATACCAGCCAGTCATACACACACGAAAAAAATTAAGAAATCATTTAAAAAGAAGATAAGTATATCTCTGGAAAGAGGACAAACTACATGATGATTTGTATAATTTAACTATATAAACATATACATATAATTTCTAAATTTTTAAAATATATAATTTATAAACAAGTATGTGTAATTTATAAAGAATTATTAATTAGGAACAGTGGGTCACTACTAAGGGGTGAGAACTCTAAAGAATACAGAAATAGCTAATAGGGAGCAGCCACTACTACTGTACTGACAAAGCTTAATCTGATGCCAGCTGACAAGAAATGTTTATAGGGTCCAGCTCCAGCATCACAAGGCAGGGACAAAGAAGGATAGATTTGGAGCTGAGAGGCAGTAAATTCATACTTGGCACAATATGTATCACTGAAATTATAGTGACAGATATAGGGAAATACAATTCACTTTTAAAAAGTTAAATTTATGTAAAACTGTTGAATAAATACTTTTGGTTCATAAACTTAGGCATGCCTGTTGCCAGATCTAATGTACTTCCCTCTTAGAACTTAACTGTGAGTCGAAAAAGAAAAAAAAAAGATAAAGAGTTTAGCTGTGAGAATAGCACACAGATACAAGAGAAAAAGGTGATGAACAAAGTTTTTTTTAAAGCACATCACAACTCAACTAAAAGTAGATAATTACTGTTTTTAGCATTAGTTGATTGTACTTCCCTTTGACATTCAATATATGAACCTTGAGGATTTTAATTCTCCCTGCGCTAGAGGTGAATCCTATTCTTCTCACCTATCTAGGTGAACAGAGGTAGTACGGTTGAGTAAAGTCAGGAAGGGCCTATTCCTTCACCACTGCTTAGCTTGAGGTGAGGCGTGCTTTGTATACTTACTGCCTGCTGCCAAGGAGAGCTCTGCACAGTCAGCAGAGGGAGTGGGCGGCACTCTTGGTGTGTTAACTACTAATGCTCAGCATTGGCAGTGCCAAGAGAATGATAAAATGAGGGGAATGTAGTGGCCCTGTACCAAGCATATTAATTTAATCCACTTTAAAGGAAAAACTTTTTAAACCTTAAGAATTTTAACACCATAATAATTGGTTTAGATTTGGATTAGAGAATAAGATTAAAGACAATAGGGGCCGGCCCGGTGGCGCACTGGATAGTGCGCCGCTTGGGAAGCGCGGCGGCGCTCCCGTCCGAGGGTTCGGATCCCACGTGCAGACGGATCCCACGTGCAGACGGATCCCACGTGCAGACCGGTTCCCGCTCACTGGCTGAGCGAGGCGCGGGAGCAACACTGAGGCTTGCGATCCCGTTGCCGGTCCCCGGTACGGGGGCAACACTGAGGGTTGCGATACGTTGCCGGACACGGAAAAAAAAGACAAAAGACAAAAAAAAAAAAAAAAAAAAGATTAAAGACAATAGAAATAGAGTGAAAAGCTGAGGTTTTAATTTAATAAGCCGTTTTTAGTCTGCCTCGATTTATTCTCTACATTGGTCCTCATTTGCCTTTTCTACTGAAATAGGTGACCCCCATGCCTCAACAGTACAGTTCTCAAATTCTACCACCTCTGTGTTGGCTACCCTTGCAGCTCTTGCTGAGGCATCAGCCCCCCTTTCCAACTCACACAGAGCCACAGGTAGGTAAGGGATTTCTGCTGGGTAAATCACCATTTCTTCTTTTGTTTTTTAATCTCCAGCAGATTTAATTTGCATGAAATATTAAAGAATTATAGTTAATTAGAGGCAGCTAGGAAAAAGGAGTGTGGAATCATTGAGCATCAGAAAGAAAAATTGCTAAGTGAAATAGTTGTACAGTGTAATATCAGAGAATGACTGAGTTACTCCTCTGTATTTTTACAGTGTTTTGCTTTGTTTTGTTTTGTTTTTGCTGGCCAGTACAGGGATTGAACCCTGGACCTTGGTGTTATCAGCACCATGCTCTAACCAATTGAACTAAGTGGCCAGTGTCTGTATTTTTAGTTTGAAGTTTGTTTACCCCGACTCCAGTAGCTTTAGATTGAAATGTTTAGTCTTATGGGGCTGGCCCGTGGCTCACTCAGGAGAGTGTGGTGCTGATAACACCAAGGCCACGGGTTCGGATCCCATATAGGGATGGCCGGTTTGCTCACTGGGTGGGCGTGGTGTTGACAACACCAAGTCAAGGGTTAAGATCCCCTTACCGGTCATCTTTAAAAAAAAAAAAAAAGAAAAGAAATGTTTAGTCTTATATTAGCAGATGTTTTGGAGATATTCTATATTATGTTTTGACTGATGCTATGTTAGAATGACTCAAAATAGCAGCTACGTGTCTTGTATCAAAGTATTAAAATACATGGGATTGCTACCTTTCTCGTTGTCATATGAGGTGTCATTGGAGGTGTTATTTTGGCATTTCCAATGGAACTGGGCAGATGTATGCTGTATAGTGCCCTTCTGATATTTAAAACCAAAAGGTTTCAAGTCACTTAGCCAGAGGCAGTGGTCTATGGGGGAAAAGCTTAGGGCTTCACATAGTTAAGGACAGATAGTCACATAGGTTGGGCTGAGTAGTCATCTAGAAATCTTTCTGGAACCCTCTAGCAGTCTGCTTCATGATGAATGAAAGCAGATTGTTTTGATTTCTCTCTGTTACTGACATTTGGGTGGTGAGAACATTCCTCCAATTCCAATCCTATTTTTCTGACTGGCAGTCATAAAGATCTCTACTCATATGTGTATGAGTGAGTGTCATGGCAGAGGGAAAAGCAATGTATTAAACTTGTCCTTGCTATTCTTTTGGTTTGCTCTTTGATCTTGGATAAATCATTTAACTTCTCCAGGCCTTAGTTTCCTCATTTCTGTTATGAAGGTTGGATTAGATTATCTATCGATGTCCTTGTAGCTATAACATTTAACTGTTCTTTGTTTCCAAGAGGTGTGAATGCTTTATTTCCATTGAACTACCTAAATGTGCCTCATATGGATGGTCCATACGCATTTGTTATTGTAAAATTCTACCTGTGACTTTTTAAATAGAGAAATTCCCTAGTGGTAGCATTTGTCTTCCATAATAGTGCTTTGTTATTGGGATATTGACTAACCAAACTGAAAATCTTGATTCAACATAATACACGTAAAGTTCATAGAAAGGTACCTGGCACATAGTAAGTAGTCAGAAAGTGTTAGCTGTTATTAAATACTGCTCTTGGGTTTGTACTGGCCAGCTGCCAAAGTAAATTAATTAATTAATTAAACAAATAATTATTGCTGTTGATCTATCAGATTAGAAAAGCCACCTGCCATTTTTGTCTGTCAAACTTCAATGTTCTGACTACTTGATATATTATTTTGTTAATTCACTATTAAATGTCCCCATTTTCTTATAGAAATGATGTGCTCTAATTTATAGCTATTTTTCTGTGTTCCATAGATTTATTTAGACTTCCAATATGCTCCCTGAAAAATGGGTTCCAAGATTAAATATGCTGAGAAAACTCAGCATATCTTATACCCTGTTGGAGAATTACAGTGCTCATTTGCCTGTTCAAGTCTGATACTTCCTATAAAACAAACAAAAAAGTTTAAACATATTTAAACCAGCATTTTGAAAATGTATTATACATAGAACTCATCTTTAATGAAAGCTATTAACATCTCAATGAAGACATTTTAGAAAATATGTTCTAATGTATTCCCTATTTTCTTTTCTCCTCTGACTTAGCCTTGTTCACAAAGCAAACTTTTGTTCATTGAATCTATTTTTTTTTTCTCAATTTTTCCTTTCCCTGAACATTGTCAACTTCAAGGAAGCTAAAATTACTGTACTCCCATCTTTTAAAAAGATGAAATTTTAAATTTACTTTTGTCGTCTCTAGCCAATTCAGAGGAAATCATAGAGGGAAATTCTGTTGACTCATCAATCCAGCATGTGGTGGGGAGTGGAGGCCAAAGGGTCATCACTATAGTGACTGATGGAGTCCCTCTGGGTAATATCCAAACTGCAATCCCTACTGGAGGCATTGGCCAGCCATTTATTGTAACTATGCAAGATGGACATCAAGGTGAGTTATCCCATGTAGATAATTGTTTATTAAAAGATCTTTTAGGGCCGGCCCGGTGGCGCACTGCTACGGTGCGCCGCTTGGGACCTTGGCGGCGCTCCTGCCGAGGGTTCGGATCCCACATACAGACCGGTTCCCGCTCACTGGCTGAGCGAGGTGCGGGCACAATGCCGAGGGTTGCGATCCTGTTGCCGGTTCCGGTCCGGTACGGGCGCGACACTGAGGGTTGCGATCCATTGCCAGACACAAAAAAAGACAAAAAAAAAAAAAAAAAAAGATCTTTTAGACACTCCACACTCCCCTAAAAATGAGGCATTAAAACAAATAATGGGAGTGAGAGAATGCCAGATTCAATATGGGGCAAAGAAGCTCTGAAAAAGAAACAAACCAGGCTGGCAAAGGCTAATTTCTCTAATATGTATAAAATGTGACTTTTTATGATCTGGTAGAAAAATAACAAATATGGAACATTAAATGCAGAAAAAGAAAAACATAGGGCTGGCTGGTTAGCTCACTTGGGAGAATGTGGTGCTGGTAACAAGGTAACAAGGTCAAGGATTCGGATCCCCTTACTGGCCAGTTGCAAAAAAAACCAAAAAAACAAACGTAAAATAAAAAGGAAGAAAAACTAATAAATAATATGAACCAATACTGATGGCTCTTGAAAATATGAAAATATGTTCAATCTATTTCATGAGAAATGCAAATATTACACTGGGATACTATTATAACACTATATTTTCAAGGTATAAGGCAACAGGCACCGTTGTAAACCACTTGTGAGAGTATAGATTAATTGGTCCTCTAAAGAGCAAGTTGGCAACATCCATCAGTATTAAAGATGTACATGCCTTTTGACTAAATAGTTTTTTTCTATGAATTTATACTCACACGGAAATGACATATATACTAAGTTATTCGTTACAGCATTATTTTTGGTTGTTAAAGATTGAAAATAACCTGAGTATATGTCAATAAGGGACTGGGTAAATAAATTATTGTACATCTATACAGTGGAATACTATGCAGCTGTAAATAACAATCAGGAAACTCCTTATATACCAGTATGGAACTATCTCCAAGATGTATTGTTAAATGACAAGAGCAAGACACAGGACAGTGTATAGAATATGCTATATTTGTATTTTATAAATGGGAGGGGTCTGGCTCCAGCTTTCAATTTTTGAACCATGTAATGTATTACTTATTAAAAAATATGCAAGTAAGGGCTGGCCTGTGGCTCACTTGAGAGAGTGTGGTGCTGATAGCACCAAGGCCACGGGTTTGGATCCCTATGTAGGGATGGCTGGTTCACTCACTTGGGAGAGCATGGTGCTGACAACACCAAGTCAAGGGATAAGGTCCCCTTACTGGTCATCTTTAAAAAAAACAAGAAAATGTACGTAAAATTTTTTCAAAAAGAGAAAGAGCCCATATACATTAAAAATATTGGAGTTTGGGGTCAGCACTGTGGCTCACTCGGGAGAGTGCGGTGCTAGTAGCGCTGAAGCCCCGGATTCGGATTCTATATAGGGATGGCCGGTGTGCTCATTGGCTGAGCATGGTGCAGACAACACCTTGCCAGGGGTTGCAATCCCCTTACCAGTCAAAACAAATTGGAGTTTGAAAAGAGCATTGATTAATTTTCTTTATTTGTGTCTCCAAAATTTTAACTTGGTCTAAATGATTATGGGGGTTTTATAATTTGCAAATTATTTGGGGTTTTTGTTTGTTTGTTTGTTTTTTTAAAGATGACTGGGAGGGGCCAGCCCGTGGCTCACTCGGTAGAGTGCGGTGCTGATAACACCAAGGCCATGGGTTCGGATCCCATATAGGGATGGCCGGTTCGCTCACTGGGTGAGCGTAGTGCTGACAACACCAAGTCAAGGGTTAAGATCCCCTTCCCAGACCAAGGCCATGGGTTTGGATCCCATATAGGGATGGCCGGTTCGCTCACTGGGTGAGCGTAGTGCTGACAACACCAAGTTAAGGGTTAAGATCCCCTTCCCAGTCATCTTTTTTTTTTTAAAGATGACCGGTAAGGGGATCTTAACCCTTGACTTGGTGTTGTCAGCACCACGCTCTCTGAAGTGAGCTAACCGGCCATCCGCTATATAGGGATCCAAACTCGTGGCCTTGGTGTTCTCAGCACCCCACTCTCCCAAGTGAACCACGGGCCAGCCCTTAATTTTCAAATTATTTGAATTGATGGATCTCTCCAGTATGGGAAGAGAAGATAGGAATTAAACGTTTGTAATCCAGATTTTGGTATTATAAATTCTTATTTGTACACTACTGATGTTTTGTGAATATAGTTATCATTTTAAGTTTTTTAGGACTCATTGGATAGGTGGGAGCCTCTGCTTATAATTGGAGATAAATAAATGAGAAGTGAGTTGTTTTGGAGAAAAAGAATAGCATTAGAGATTTTGCCTAAATGAATTACACTACTTTTTACAAATGTGTTTAACTAGGGCTGAAGAAGGAAAACTGAGATTTTGTGAATTATCTTCAGGAATTTTTTTTTTTTTGGCAGCTGGCTGGTATCGGGATCTGAACCCTTGACCTTGGTGTTATAACACTGCTCTAACCAGCTGAGCTAATCAACCAGCCCTATCTTTAGGAAATCTAAATCCCAGACAAAGTCCCATTTCCACTCAGTATACTCATACATCTAAGCTGCTTTCCACTGCCATCAGTTGACGAGTACCCAGGAACCCAGGAATACAAGCTAATTTTTATTTATTTTTATTTATTTTATTTTTTTGGCAGTTGGCCGGTAGGGGATATGAACCCTCAACATTTGTGTTATCAGCACTACACTCTAACCAAGTGAGCTAACCGGCCAGCCCACAACCTAATTTTTAAATCAGCCAAATCAATTGACGAGGTAAATCTGTTTTAAAAAATCATAATGCATCCTAAAACATAAATATAATTTTAAACTTTATTTTGAGATGAATATAGATTCATATATAGTTCTAAGAAGTAATACAGAGAAATCCCCTACCCAGTTTCCTCCAATGATATCATTTTGCATAACTGTAGTACAATGTCACAACCAGGAAATTGACATTGATACAATCCACCAGCCATGTTGAGATTTTTCCAGTTTTACATGCATTCATGTTTATTCATTTAAATGTGTGCACTTAGTTCTGTGCAATTTAATATATGTGTAGATTTGTGTGAGCACCACCAGAGTGAAGATATAGTACAGTTCCATCCCAAGGATTGCTTGTGCTACCATTTTATATCCACAGCCACCTCCTTCCCACCCCATTCCTAACCTCTGGGAACCAGTCACTAATCTGTTCTCTACACTTTTGTCATTTCAAGAATGTTATATAAATGGAATCATATAGTATGTAATCTTTTGAGAGTGGCTTTTTTCTCTCAGCACAATTCCTTTAAGATCCATCCAAGTTGTTTGCATTAATAGTTTATTCCTTTTTATTGCTGAGTCTTATTCCATAGTATGGATGTACCACAGTTTGTTTTACCATTTACCCATTAAAGGACATTTGAGTAGTTTACAGTTTTCAGCTGTCTAAGAACAAAGCTGTTAGGAACAATCACGTACAGGTTCTTTCAGGAACTAAATTTTCAGTTCTCTGGGATAAATGCCCAAGAGTACAATTGCTGGGTCATATGGTAAGTGTAAGGTTAGTTTTGTAAGAAACTGCCAAACTGTTTTGTAGGGTGGTTATACCATTTTACATTCCCACCAGCAATTTCTGAATAATCCAATTTCTGTACATCCCCTCTAACATTTACTTTTATCACTTTTTTTGTTATTCTAGCTATTCTGATAGGTGTATAGTGTGTCATGTGTGTTGTGTGTGGGGGCATATGTGTGTTTACCCTTTTCTCACTTACCTATGAGAAGAGAAATAATTTAGGTACAGTTAATGGCAACCTGTTTCATTAGAAGTTTCTCAAAAATCTTACGTAAAGACTTCAGGCTTTCTTTAGACATGTTATTCCTGTAGAATTTTTTTTTCCCGTAGACAAATACACTTATTCATGTAAAATTGATAAGCTAATTGGTCATAGCTGCTGACCAAGAGTCAGATATCTTTATATGAGTCTGGGATTTATCTTTATGTAAGAGAACTGGGACTTAACTGCATGGCTTTCCAACCTGCAAATCTATACCCTTTCTTCCTGAGACCTTCTTAGTACCTCTTTAATCTTTTTTGTTTCTCTCTGCAGAGCCATGCCTTACTTGTTGACTATAAAATCCAAAAAGATATGAAAAATAATATGTCGAAGAATATATTTCAGTTTTCTAATCAAAAGCTTTGGCTTGTAGTTCTAACAGTACCTGCTGGTCAGGTTGCAGAGGATACTGTAATTGAAGAGGAAGAAGAAACAGAGAAGTTGCCACTGATAAAGAAACCAAGGATAGAAGAGATGACAAACAGTATGGAAGGAAGCAAGGTAATGTTTTTAGCAGTGATAGAAGAGGAAGGAAAGAATCGAAAGCCATAACTATCAAGGCATGAACCCTTCTTCATCTTTTTGTCTACTCTCTGGATCAGGAATTCTTACCTGCTGGTGACATGGTTTACTTTTACAGGAAGGCAGCGAAAAAGAGCTACTACAGCTGCAACTCCAGGAGGCCAATCGAAGAGCCCAGGAATACAGGCACCAGCTCCTTAAGAAAGAGCAGGAGGCAGAACAGTACCGTCTTAAGCTAGAAGCCGTGGCCCGACAGCAGCCCAATGGAATTGATTTTACCGTGGTTGAAGAGGTGGCTGAGATAGATGCTGTAGTTGTCACAGAGGGATAGTGGAAGAGAGAGAGACAGAAGTGACTGGGTCAGGAGGGACCACAGAACCTCATACTGGAGTGTCCATGGAAACTGTTTCATCTTAAAATGCAACGGCCACAACCTGCACTGTGTTCATCTTATTCCTCTTAAAAAGAAAATAGAGGGGGGCCGGCCCGGTGGCGCACTGGAGAGTGCGCCGCTTGGGAGCGTGGCAGCGCTCCCGCTGAGGGTTCTGATCCCATGTGGAGACCGGTTCCCACTCACTGGCTGAGCGCGGTGCAGGCGCAACACTGAGGGTTGCGATCCCGTTGCCAGTCCCCGGTACGGGCGCAACACCAAGGGTTGCGATCCCGTTACCGGTCAGTAAAAAAGACAAAAAGGAAAAAAAAAAATAGAGGACAAACATTGTATAAAAATTCAAAATTTCCAGGCTGACCAGTTAGCTCAGTTGGTTATAGTGTGGTGTCGATAACACCAAGCCCAAGGGTTCAGATCCCTGTACCAGCCAGCTGTCAAAAAAAAAGGAAAAAATACTTGAGAAGAAAACTATAGCAGAGTATAGTGCTTGGGCTCAGAAAGCTTCTCTGTGCAACTGGAAAATGCAAAGCCATATTTAGGAAACACTTCTGAGGGGCCAAAAGAATAAGGATCAAATTTCTCAGCTCACATCATTGCTTTAATCATAGAGGTAACAGAATGCTGGATGTTCTGTGTTAATTGTTTATTATCTTTTTTTAAACAACTAACTTTTTATCAAAAGATTTTAAGATAACATTCCTAATACATACACACCAAGAACCTTTAATAATTTTTTTATCAAGTGACTTGAAAATTTGCCTTAGATTTATGATATGTATCTGTTGGAGAAACTAATTGGGAGGGAGGTTAGAAGCTTTTAGGAAGAGAAAAGGAATGTATTTCACTTCCAAAGGAGTAAGAATTCCCAACTATCCTGAATTAATTTCACTAAAAAGAAATCTGTGATTGTTTAACAAATTTGTATCCATTGTGTGCCTATAGCTCAGATGCCAGTTTAAGAAATTGAAATAGAGGGCCGGCCCGGTGGCGCACTGGGTAGTGCGCCGCTTGGGAAGCGCGGTGGCGCTCCCGCCCGAGGGTTCGGATCCCACATACGGACCGGCTCCCGCTCACTGGCTGAGCGAGGCGCGGGAGCAACGCCGAGGTTTGCAATCCCGTTGCCGGTCCCTGGTCCGGTACGGGGGCAACACTGAGGGTTGCGATCCGTTGCCGGACACGGAAAAAGACAAAAGACAAAAAAAAAAAAAAAAATGTCTATAAGAAAAAGGTGTTATCAAGTTTATCCACTATATAGTGAATTTATTTAGAATTT